AGGGAGTCTAGGTGAATCCGGGAAATAGATCTGTGACATGTGAAGGTTTTGTGTTTTCCGAGAATTTGTGTTCGGGTTTAAAGTGTTTTAAAAAACCAACTTACGCGATTGGGACGGTGGAATTAAGACGGAGAATTAATCTGAATGCTAACCAGGAGGATTGATTAGAATTAAAGCAACAGAGTTTTAAATGCCGGAATGAACTGTAACTTTGTAATTTTGTAAAAAAAACCTCTTAAATTGTACATGTAAATTGATTGTACAATATACATATTTAAAATAAATTAATTAGTTGTGTTGTTTGTTGGAAATTTGGAAAAGGGGGCAATTAAGTTAAAGAACCTGAGGTCACTTTGTTACAAATCTATATGGGTAAATCACGATATTTACAAAATCGAGAATGGCTCTTCTCACGTAACGATAATAATAATGCAAATTCTATAGAAATATAGGCTACAATTTTTTGGGACAATTTATCGACTTTTTGTTTGTGACATGACATGATATGGACCATTTACTTTGTTATATGTCGATATATTCCCTCATAAATATTCTCTCTGTAACCCTACAAACATTAGCAACTTAAACGAGATATTTCTAAAATGACAAAGCTTTTATTTAGCATATGTCATTATTTTATTGGACTGACTTGGATGACCTGGCGAATCACTCACTATTCACATACAAATGGGATTATCAATTGTAGATTATGCATACAGTGTACACATATAACATCCATACATTTTGAAGACGCGTGACAGTATACTTTTAGCCAGAAGATTATTTGAAGATTTAGATTATTTTATCTATTGATCGGATGTCTATATATGTAAGTAAAATAAAAATAAAAGAGAGCGATCTGTTTTATTATTGGATGAAATAGGATTTAACGTCCTACTTTTCTGTCCCGACTGGGCCAATGAAGTCGGGCATACACCATACACTGTGCTATGAGAGAAATCTTCCCCGGGCAGCGGCGCTACGGCCTACTCTTATATCGAATTCCAACTGCCAAGGGATCTTTTACGTGCACGCCAATGTGTACATGGGACCTCATGTTTTTTCCCTATACGTTGTCCCGTATCAGACCCTCAGTCCTACATCACTGACAAGGAGGAACCACGCCGGAAAATCCCGATGAACTTTCTCGGCCAATGCTGGGATCGAACTCGGGACTTCCAGGTTAGCGAGTCAGCGTCTCACCCACATGGCTCCCATGTTTTGTTATTAACAAAACTTTTATTCATACTAAAACTACATTGTTTGAATACTGATCTCTTACTACATAACATTACTTTATAATTATCTCCTCGCCTTTTCATAAATGTTTTGATTTAACAGAACGCTTTCCCTTATTAAGGGAAGAGAGAGAGAGAGAGAGAGAGAGAGAGAGAGAGAGAGAGGGAGGATTTAATGTCCAACCGACACAAACTAGGTCATGTCGGGACTAATATATGGTTCTATTTTATTTCAATAATTCGCTTGCGTGTATGGGTATTTAGCAGTGGGAGGAAACCGGAGTAAAACCCATGAAGTTGAACAGGCAACCCTACTCCTTGTCACGTACACGCTTGGAATTGAAACCATGTCAGTTAACTCAATGACAGACCTTATGATACAGCGCTCATGTGCTAACCATCCGGCCATCCACCCCCTAGAGGAATAAACACATTTAAGAATACAATTAAGAAATGAAATGAAATGGGGTTTAACGTCATAATGTTCTGCTCGGACTGGGCTAATGAAGACGGGAATACAATTATAGGACCATAGATCCTAAAGGACTATAAGATTTTTAAAGTCAATATAAAAAGCGAGTGCATTATGTACTAAGATACAAAAAAACTGTAAAACCAACAAATCTGTTAGCTACGAGAGCTCGCTGCAACATAACAACCCGTCATAGTGGTAAATAAATGGTATCATGTGTTCCTACAGGTTAAAGATAACATGGCTCGAACACTACACCTGATTTAGGTAAATTCTCATCTCATTATTTTCCGGTAAAAACATCTGATTAATTTGATCGACTCTTCTTTGACATCTTGGGGCCATAGATTACGTAGTTTGCAAATGAAACGTTACTCAAGACGTATGATTTTGGGTTAGGTTTCTTAGTTGATAATAAAGGGTTAATCTGCTTTTAAATAACGGCTTATAAAATAAAAACATATTCTATAATAAACGTAAAAAAACATGTGGAAATGACATTTGAATTCCCATTAATACCAAAAGCTAGAGGTTCCTGCAGAATATTTCTTAAAGGAGCTAAGTCTCTAACTCAATATATATTTTCCATAATGTTCGAAATTAGAAACACAATTATTCAGTATTAATCAATTTCAATCAATATTGATGTTGCCATCTTGCCGTTAACTAAAGGATCCTAATATTTGAGGCACAATTAACATTTTATAATCAGTACACGAGTCGTGTACCTTATTTTATAATGAACAAATAAAAACATACCCTACAACACAATATGGAAGTAATTAGTAAAACGACAAAATAATAATTTTAAAAACGTGTAGACATGCACTGAGCAGGCGTAAACGACTGCCGTTCAATTTGAACTGTTCACGTATTTCACGAAACATAATCGATAAGATATAACCCTATTTTTTGCAAAAATTAAATATAACTCACTTTACATACATTCATATTATATTAATATGTGCTTTTAGAACCATTTTTGTCTATTTCAAGGTTTAAAAAATGGAGCCATACGCCCTTTAATATATACATGTACTATCTGATTAGCATTGTTTTTTTCTTCATGGAATCTGCAGAGATTAACGTAGACTGGAAAGGCAAACTTACTCTGCTTGGGTTCCTAATCTTCATAACCTACAAAGAGCCTACCATGTCGCAAATATCATAAAATGAAATGAAATGGGGTTTAAAGTCCCATACCTAATAATATAACTGCACATTGATAGAAATGAAATGAAATGGGGTTTAACGTGTGCTATGAGGGAAATTTTGCCCGGACAGCGGCAGTACGGCCTACTCTTATATCGAATTCCAACTGTCAAGGTATATTTTACGTTCCCGTCGGGCTGGAAAATCTCAAACTTTCTCGACCAACACCGAGATTGAATCAGGACCACCCGGCTCTCTATAACGTTTGTGAACTATTATGAAACCAGAGAAAATAATTAACAGCTTTAGTTCAGAATGTACCATCATGATTAGATTTAAAATTATTAGAATTATTTGAAAACAAGAGCTAAAAATGGCCACAGCTGAATATAGATATCAAACCTGCCAAGTCATCATTTTAAATGTCGATAATTTGTTGTAAATTTTGTTATCATGATTTTAAAGAATTTTATCTGATCAGCAACGGAAATATTTCGTTCAAAAGTTGGTATGTTGTGCTACTTATTGTTAGTTTCCACAGGTGATCTTAAGATACGGCAAAGGTAGGTAGTTTTTTTTATTTCTTCATTCTAAGGTGGCATGTACGATTCTGAATTGATGCCACTAGAATTTGAAAATACACGGTTTACATATAAAATGACTTTAAGCTCATTAATTTTTGATTAGTTTCACAAATTTTAAAGAGATAAAAAGTCTAATCACATAAACAAATTTGAGAAAAAAATATATGTGCGGCGAAAATAGTAAACACTCAATCATATTGTGAGGCTCGTTTTTTTCTTCTGTTCGGAAATCTAAAAGTATGGCGGATGTGTCACTTAAACGTTATCGCATATAAAGTTGGCACTTCTTCACATGCAAATTACGGGTTGCAGTTATCAATAAGGACATGATGATCAAGCAAGCATACCGCCATTTCCTTAACCCTACTGGTTAACAGAACGGAATTTTTCTGTGAGCTGACTAATCACTTTCAGTCTATACTTTAAAGACAATGAAATGAAATGGGGTTTAACGTCCTACTGTTCTGCTTCGACAGGGATAAGGAAGACGGCATACGCCATACGGTGTGCTATCAGGACAGCGGCGCTACGGCTTACTTTTATATCGAATTCCACACTGCGTAGCTGGTTGTCAAGTTCCACATGGAGCGACTGTTGCTGAACTTTGGATGGACAGGACTGAACACGGTTCATTCTCTCCATGTCAATGCTGGCGGAATGGAAGCGGTAAAAGCAACATAGTTGTTGAGCCATGTCAGGATATTCAGTAAACATCTGAAGGAGTGATTCTTCTCCTTCTCTGATATTTACCACCTCGTGGGTTGAAAACATCAATGAATCTGCAAAGCTGTCAGTGGATTTGACTTCGTCGACGATCAAACATCTCAGGTCATTGTAAAATCGGGGAATAACGGGTCCCTTGTTGTTGATTGTGTCATCTTCATATTGTACACGATTTGGCGAGGATGTATCATCATCTACGAGGCGTGTCAGCTTAAAAATTTCGGAATTAAAAGCTTATTGAGCAGCACAACCAAGTACTTTTGAGTTTTAAATACGTCGTTTTACTGAAGAAATAATGACAGTTTTTGCAGATGTTTCTGAAGAACAGAAAATCAAATATGTGTGACTTTACTTATTTAAACTGAGATCGGATTTTAATGATCAACAACATTTGAGTTAAGATTTAGTCTCAAGTTAAAGACGATTCATTTTTTGAACGATCTATAGAAATATAGTTTGAAAAGAAGCCAAGTATTTAAAGGAGGTAAGTCTCTAATATTTGGGTCCCAGAAATTGACACAAATTGGTCGCAACGCATACAATAATGTAATAGGCTACCATACAAAAGTCTCTGCGGCCAGTCTGCGATCTTTTACGGCGCCGAACACACGCAAGTAGCGCGTAAGTCTTGCGCACGGGTTTACTCAAATTCCCCCCACCCTCCAGACAGCAATTAGTATGCATGTACGGCGGGTTGTGAGCTAGGCTTTAGCAAGTGCATAAGGACCACTTTACACGCAAAAAAAATCGATAAGACGAACCTTCGAACAAAATGTTATAGATGCCATTTAATACTGTTGTATATGCTTAATGATGTTTGATATATTGTAGATGCTGTATCTATTAATCCTGTTATTGGCATCAAGTGTTCTTGCCAAGAACTATACAGAACGCTTAATCGTTGGTCATTTTCCAGCTGAATTTGCTTTCGGGGTTGCATCGTCGGCTTACCAAGTCGAAGGGGCATGGAATGCAGACGGTAAGAGACCATGATAATATCGCTAACATTCAATTAGTTTTGTTCTTTTATGACAATTACGCTGGTATTCGGAATTGTGTGTGTATTGTGGAAGGGGGTTGTTTTAGTGTGCGTAAGACTGCATTATCTAAGATCTAGACGAAAAGTGTTTCCGATCAAATCTGGAAAAAAACAACGAAAGGAGACGATATAGTCAAGCTGCTAATACCAGTATTTATTATGGACCTCATGTATTAAACCAATTTAATTAAACTGTCGCGAACAAGTAATTCGATTATTGATACTTATTGATACAATTTAATTTATCCTCGATCGCTGGAACAATATATTGAATATTATTCTACTTTTCTATGTTTCGTAGCTGTTCTTATTTTCAGGCAAGGGTAAAAGCATATGGGACGTATTCGCTCACCAACCTGGGCACATAAAAGATGGGTCGACGGGAGATGTATCGGATGATCAATATCATAAATATAAAGAAGATGTGCAACATTTAAAATGGCTTGGGGTAAGATCTCATGGTTTCACCATTTGGGAGTATAGCTATCCACACGTCGGTCATCAAATAGGCTGTTTATATAATCCGTATGAAATATATGCTTTGCAATATGTATATGAGACAGCTATCAGCTTATATCTATATTAAGTTCTATATCTATATACTCGCCGATTGTCCTTATCAATTGTTTATATAGCAACTCTAATATGAAAAATATCTCATTTTGTCTACTAGATATACCGAGTCAATATCATCTGATCGTGACCATGACATTTAATAATATATCTATCGTACATACATGTTTAATTTGGCAATAATAACAAATACTTGACACAATCTCTGCACGGTAAACGTTTACATAGAATAAATTTTATTTTTTAAACTTCTATATCATTCCATTGAGAAAATAGGTCAAAATTCAAAATTGAATTTGTTCAGAGAGTAAGACACTGACCCGCTAACCAGGAGGTCTAGGGTTTGCTGCTGGTTGAAACAGTTCCTTGGTAATACCTCATATCAGTAGTGCAGGACGGGTGTCCAGTCGTTCGAATGAGACGAAACAAACAGAGTCCTGTGTACACAGTGGCGTACACGTAAAAGAAACCCTGACAAATGGAATTTGAATTAAGAATAGGCTGGCACCAGCGTACTGGTAAAATGTCACTCCTTACACACTGAATATGAGATATGCCCGTCGTCGTTAGCCAGTCGGTGCAGACCAGTAGGACGTTAAACCCCATTTCATTTCATATCATTTCAAACCCCATTGCATTTCATGTCTATAAAAAATAACAAAAAAACAACAACATTTACAACATGTCGTATGACACGCTTGAGCTCGTTTGCTATACATTATAATAAACAGGATGTTATGCAAGCGACACACGAGTTGTCACGCACGAGCGCTATTTCGAAACCAAGGTCATTTGACATACTTTATGGCCCATAGCGCATACCTTAGACTAGGCTGATAGAATGGCGACTAGTTGACCGGGTTGGACAAAAAAAATCCAAGGTCATGTGTAAAACAACCCGATGAAGAGTAGAAGGAAAAGTGACCCCAATGAATCGGCATCCCGGTCGTTCAGATAAGTAGGACGTTAAACCCCAGTTTATTACATTTTCTTAGAACTTTCTCTAATAGAAGTTAGTAAACAAGCACAAAATATTCTGATCCTATAAAAATATACAAACCAAATTATAACCACGCTGTTTTCTATTTAATTGTTCAAGTAGTAGTAGTTTTTCCGCTATGGTTTCCACTTGTCGGTGATGCAGGACGGGGCGTGGGTTGGGGGTGACAAGGGCAGTTGTCTAGTCGATCGGATGAGACGAAAATCCGAGATCCCGAGTACAGATTGGCGTGCACGTAAAAGACTCCTTGGCAGTTGGAATTCGATATGAGAGTAGCCCGTAGTCCGGACAAAACTCCCCTCATAGTACACTGAATGGCGCATGCCCGTCTTCATTAGCAGAACAGTAGGACGTTAAACCCCATTCCATTTCATTTCAGTTCAAGTAGTAGTAGGAAAGGGCGTGACACCCGCTTACACTAAGGGTGATATAACAGACAAAAGTTACCTTGGAAACTTTCGAGAGGAGTCAGTCACATGCAAGAGGCTCGTCCCGCTAGGTTTGGAGATGGGAAAAGGGTCTAGAAATGTTCTCTTCCATATGCCTAGTTAAATGCGTAGACTTGCCTTTTGAGTAACAGCACCCCAACTTTTAAACAATACGGTATCATTTTTGTAGGTAACTCACTACAGATTGTCAATAGCTTGGACACGGATTTTACCTGATGGAACGATCAATAACATCAATCAAAAGGGCATAGATCACTATAATGCTGTAATCGACGAGCTCTTCAACAATAATATTGTACCTTTTGTTACCTTATTTCACTGGGATCTGCCACAAGGACTCCAAGATTACGGTGGCTGGGAGAATGATACCATCATTGAACACTATAAGAACTATGCGGATCTTTGTTTTAAGTCTTTTGGAGACAGGGTAATTATTTTCTCTGGTACTATAAAACAAAAAGTGCAGTATTTACAATTCGCATTAACCAATGGAATGATCTGTTTAGTTGATAGAGGGCCTAGCAAGGACAGTGTCTAGTCGTTCGGATGTGGCCCCGTGTACACATCTGCATGCACGTGAAAGAAATCCTGACAGTTGGAATAAGGGTAGACCATAGCGCCGCTGTACAGGCAACATTTCTGTCGTCTTACTTAGCCCAGTCGCGGCAGAAAAGTAAGACGTTATACTCCATTTCATTTCAATTTCTTTGTTTAGTCGAACTTTATTAGAACGTTCACGGAATTCTAAGAAACACCTGTATATACATCATGTGACCTGCCCCCGTGAAACCAGGCGTTTGACGCACAACTTCAGTTTGTACTACCTACACAAAAGCAAAAACCGCATGCCTTCTTGTCGCTGTGAATGATCCGAACTCCAGATGATACGACAAATTTAAAAAGAATTGCATTTTTGGAAAGCTTAGACTGTGGACTATTGAAATATACTGTCATCTCTATTTTTCATAAAAATGACCAAGAGCCTGATTTTGTGGGAGCAGCTCACATATATACAAAGAACCGACTTGTAGATTTGTAATTAAATTAGATTGGATTGCTTGGTAAATTACAGACCCATTTGTCAAAAAAGAATATTTTTTTAAATATATTGTAGGTGACAAACTGGATCACGTTTAATGAACCATTTATTACCTCTTGGATGGGGCATGAAACCGGGGTAAATGCACCTGGTATAAAGAATGTTGATGCAGAGTACAGAACAGCTCATAACCTAATCCGATCTCACGTCAAGGCGTATCGACATTACAACCAACATTATAAAACTGCTCAAATGGGTAAAGTTTTCAATACCTAAATTTTAAACAAGCCCGTAAAACAAAACTTGAGCTTTTGGAACTTTTAAAAGCTGAAAGCTGAAAGATTTTAAGTCGCTAAACGTTTTTCTGGGCGTTGACTACTTGTGTTTTTCAATGATTACTATTCCCATTTTATCGTAGTTTAGTATTAAATTCCTAAAGATATTGACCCTAAAAGTACAAGAGTATCACATTTTATTCAGTGTCCTTATTAGGAAATGACCGTAATAGAGATTTTCGCCCCTTTTATTTCAGGTCGAGTTGGAATAACCCTGGACACTGAATGGAAGGAACCACGGACAGACAGTCCTGCTGATTTGGCCGCTTCTAACAGAGGTATGGTCTTCAGGCTTGGTTGGTTTGCTAATCCTATAGTGTATGGTGATTATCCCAAAATAATGAAAGATATGCTTGCGGAAAGAAGTAGAATTCAAGGACATACTGGATCAAGACTTCCAACCTTCACAGCTGCAGAAATTACTGAAAACAAAGGTAAAATGATATGTACATATCTTTACTTGTGTGGTTTTTGTAATTAGTCTAATTCTGTAATCGCATGTGTAATGTTTGTAATTACTTATGGAATTACTTGTGCAATATCTGTAAGTAGGCTACGTGTTAATATCTGTAATTACTTGTGCAATGTATGTAATTCTTCGACTCTAATTGTGAAATATCTGCAGTTAATTGTGTAATGTCTATATTTACGCGTGTAATATATGTAATTGCGTGTCATGTCTGTAATTACGTGTAAAATGTCGGTAATTGCTTGTGTAATGTCTGTAATTACTTATGGAATGTATTTAACAAGTAATGCCTGCAATTGCATGTTTAATGTATGTAATTACTTGTGTAATGATAATAATCATTTAAGTAATCATAAGTAATATTCAACCACATATAGCTGTCACACATTTATAAACAAAATAGTATTACTTTTAATATCTAATGTCAACTCTTATCACAAAACGTGTTGAAACCATGTTATTTCGTGCCTAATTAAATGGCTTCCCTTCGTCAGTGGTGTAGGAACCGTGTCTAGTCGTTCGGATTGCACGAAAACCCGACATCCTTTATTCCCCGATAAAAGAACTCTTGTCAATATTGAAAATATAAAAAGTAACCAAAGCCTTTCAAAAACTCTGCATCATGGAATTTGGTAGATGGAAATGGATCATGACTTTCGCCAAGCAAAAGTGGATTAATTAACCGGTATAATTTATATTAACCTGGTGTGTGAAAGGCTAATGCTACATTTAACAACTTTCGTGTGACTGTCAGTTTGATTAAAACATTTATCTTTACAGGAGCACTGGATTTTATGGGTATAAATCATTATTCCACTAATTTTGTGCAATCTACGATGTCTGATAAAACTAAACCAGGTTTCTTTAATGATCAGGATGTGGCTTTTATCTCAACTAAGTAAGTTCTAAACACAGGCGTACTTTGAATAAGTAAAGAAATTAGTGCTATTGTCAATGTGTGGCCGGGTGTGTGTGTGTGTGGGGGGGGGGGGGGCATTACACAGACAACATAACAAATCTAATCAATGCGAGGAGGGGGAGATGAAGGGTCTGCCATATGCGCCCACTGCTCGGTGCACTCCTAGGTCTACCAAGATACCAGATTCACTTATTAATCTGTAATTAAAAATTTGCTAAATACAGGATTTAAATTAGGAAGTAATCAAACAAATGAAAAAGAAATTTTATACGCAAATATTTCATGATTTTACCATGTATCATTTGTACCAAATATAATCAGCTGAAATGTCAATTTCGGTATGGCTTTTTGATAACCATGACGTTTTTGTGAAATCCAAATCAGTTTAGAGCTAGTGGTATGAGTTGTCATATCCACCAGAATTCTATGCTGATTCTCTAGGGAACTGTACACGAATTTGGGCGTAAATCAGTAAGCAAACAGTCTATATAATTCATTCCAATCTTCGCAACTGACTGATGGTACATGATCATTATATTTTATTCAATATCTAATATTAAAATAGTCCCCTTGCCCTTATTAGACCGGATCGAGTTGAAAGTGAGATGTTAAGCCCCATTTATTATCAATTCATTAGCTATTTTCAACCATACTCAAACCTAACTACATTTTCTTATTTATATTTCGGTTTTTCAGCAAATACGCATGGGGATTAAGAAAATTACTGAATTATATTAAAACAACGTATGGTAATATAGATGTATATATAACAGAAAATGGCGCGACTGATTGTGGAACAAATGAGGATCAAGTACGAGTTGATTATGTCAAAAGATACCTTAACGCCGTTCTTCAAGGTATTATAAAGCAATGACTCTTTGAAGCTAACATGAATATATATATTTTACTGATTATTTAATATATTTGAGAGATTGCAGAAATATTAGGATTGACGCTCATCCATAACATTTCAGAAGTAAGTGTGCGGTAGACATGGTTGAGCAGTTGAACATACGGTTAACACATGCATACCTTCCTCATTGAAATGAAATTCATACTTATTTATTTACTTAAAACAGATTTTTATGGGTGTTTTCGATTTAATCATGTCCATGCCTAATATAAAAATTCAATTTAGTATTGTTAATAATATGTTTATTTCGTTATAAATTTTTACTTTTCGCAGCAATACAAGATGGTTGCCCAGTTAAAGGCTACTTTGTGTGGAGTTTGTTGGATTCTTTTGAGTGGAGCAGTGGGTATACTGTGAAAATGGGCCTGTTTCGGGTAGATTTTTCAAGATCCGATTTACCTCGATATCCCAAAACTTCCGCTTATTTTTATCAATCGATCTGTAAGGAGAAAGGATTTACGCAACGTATCTTGGACTTCAGAGCATGTAAGTTGCTTCACTGCTGTTACATGGTAATTGAGAGTGTAAAACTTGCAGAGAGAGAGAGAGAGAGAGAGAGAGAGGGAGAGTTTGTAAGAAATAAATGTAATTTAGTATGCTAAAAAAGACCTTTACTATTTAGATAGTTCGAGTAAATTGATCACGAACCGCCTAGAACATTGCTACGTTAAATGAACTGTAAAAAAAACCCTTATACTCCGACTTCCAGCTAGTTTTAGGAATCTGGTTCGTGTTATTGTGAGCTATAAAATAATGTTACGATTATTTTAAAAACTTTTCTAGAAATTTCAAAATTATTAATTCTCTATTATTTTAGTTGCTAAGGACAGAGATGAGTTTGTATACGGGCAATTTCCAGCTGGTTTTATGTGGGGATTGGCCACTGCAGCATATCAAGTAGAGGGTGCATGGAATGAAGACGGTTAGTTCTATTCTAGTTTCATTTAAATTGCGAACATTATTATTTAATACGGGCAAAACAAACCCTAGCGAAATAAAACTTTGAGCGTATCAAATATTTACAAAGTCTATATTGTTTGACTTCCAGATAAAAGATTGTTTTCAGAGAAAATAACTAATCCCTTTCGGTGAAAAGCCACGCCTTCTATCTATGACATAATGCAGACTCAAGGCTAAAGAGTACTATTCTCAGACGACGTGTTGTGTTCCGAACGACGTTTATTGTTGGACAGCGATAAGAAGACAAATACCGTGAAAACCCTTGAGTGTATCAGCTAGTCTTTAACAGTAAAATATGGTCGCAAACTAACCACTATTACCCTCCAACTATCTGCTTTTAAAAACTGTTCAATATTTTTGGTTCAGTTTTGAACGTTTTTGTCCCAAATGCATGAGCAGAATATTATGTAAGTAATAGTTATATACCAACCCATACATCGAGAAAACAACGTATATAACTGACTTATACTAAATACTTTTTCGAGAAATAGAGATTTTTTCTATTTTTCCCAATTTCTAAAGCATTTTTCATTTCACAAATTTATCAAAGTTTCCCATTCAGAGCCCCTCAATTATCTCATCGCAAACGCTTATTTCTACTCAGGTAAATGATGTCAGTACACCACACGTGAATTTCACGGTTTAAATCAGGTCAGGGAAAATGTTCATAACGGGGATATTGATTGGTTGAGAAAAGCAAACGTCATCCAATCATTTTGTACAATAACCATTTCTTGTTGTTTTGCCAACATCCTGGCTGCGTCGATTGTAGTGGATGGCAGAAATGATTGCGGGAATTCGTCGAAGAAACCTTCGTCGAAGAATCCTACTTTATAATGTCACAGATATATATTTCTAAGACCGAGAATATCAGTTCTGCAAGAGATGTCAATGATCGCAAAGATTTAGAAGCCCGAGCCTTCACAGAACAAGAAATTAAAGCCATGCAGATGAGTCGAATTCCCCCAAACACGAGGAAAAATACCAATTGCATAGGAATATGGTGACACTTCGAGATCAGTACAAAAGATTTGATTTTAACTTTTTTGATAAGCAAGGTACATTTGCTAATTTCCGCACAGATCAATTCATTAACTTCGCGAGGTATTGACATCCACTGACAGACAAAAACAAGAACAGCCATTAAATGAAGACGAGTTGGAATTGTAGAGTTCTCAAGTTTGTAGTGTAGAAAATGCCAATGGATTAATTTATACTAGTAATATATTTGGATTACGTGCTGCGGATGAGCATAAACCGCGACAAAATGTGAAAATTTTTATTGTAGAAAATGCCAAGAGATTAATTTATAATAGTAAAATATTTGGATTATGTGCTGTGGATGCGACTTTTACCATAACATGTTCAAAACGGGTTGTAGATGTTCAAATAAATATGTAAATCATGATTTTGCTATTTTTGTCCCTTTTCAACTGATACACGGCCACTTTTCAAAAGTGGCCGTGAAAAGTGGCCGTGTATCGGTGTATACCCTTCCATTTTCATCAAAGAGTCGAGAAAAAGTATGGGTATAAATGACAGTACATCAGTACTGAAAGCTATACATTATAGTATATACAGAGGGGAAATAAAACTTAAACTAAACATAGCGGAGAATCGGTCAGTATTTAGTACAAAATTCGGATTTTTTATTTAAATTTATCCTTCTTAAGGTCCAATACATCATGTCAATAATGTTAAAAAAATAACCAATTGCATTAATTAAACATATCGGAGAATAGATTGTTATATAGTACAAAATTTAGTTTTTTGTTTCAGTCGTCTCCTCCAATTAATACATCACATCAATAGTATATGTCTCTTAACCTCTACAGTGTCCTCACAGACGTATGATCGTGTAATAAAAAGTTCTTCTCTACTCGACGACCTATATTGATTTAAGTATATCTATACTTGACCGGTTTATGTATTGAGAACATTGCAGGGATTAACTTCAATATAATTATGGTTCAGATTTAATGAATAACTTTAGGGATATTTAATAAAGAACCGAATTAAGCAACGGTTACATGAATGCGTAGCTTCAAAACATGTTAGACACAATAAACGCTTAAACAAATCTTTAGATAGAGTTGATAGATAGAGTGCCATAATTTGACACCCATTCAACAAGTGATATTATATTCGTAGGACAAGTTCATACTTCTAAAAGTACGTTTAGGCCTTGACCCAGATTATGCTTTTGTAATACAAATCATGGCATATATTAAAAAAAACACAGGCGGAATAGGTTCAAAGGGGAATAACCTCTTGGATTCAGGCCAAGATAACGTATTGAATTAGGTTGATCTGTTGTTGGAAATTTTCACTGGCCGATTAATAACAATTTTCGATTTGACATGACTGTGGCCAAAAAAAACATAGCATGCAAAAGTTTAGATATATCTCAATTAATTGCTGAGATATAGACGTTTTAAGAGTCGTACGCAGTCGCTTAGAGCGGTATTCGTGCAAAATCCTTTAGTCTAAGTGGCCACATTCTTGTATTTTCCATAAATAATTGACTTAATGGCAATTTTAGTTATTTGAAATAAATTAAAATTTATTTTCTGGCTAAAAGTTAAATGCATCTGTAAACTAGACTATTGTCACATACGATACCCCTAATCAATTATAATATGTGACTATTGTCACATACGATACCCCTAATCAATTATAATCTAAGGCATGACAACATAAATGCTGATATACAAAGTGTGCTCTAAACAATGCTTATATAAAGATTGTATAAGTAGTAAGGCGATACTGTAATACGCTGGTTTAATACAAGTATGTACATATTCCAGAATAAATCAAATCCACCAATTGTTTTTGTTAAACTTTCAGGTCGTTTCTGAACATTCTAAAATATTTAGCAGCTTATCTGAATGAATATAACCAGGCCATAAAATAGATTTACATCAATTAATTTAAACTCTAGTTTGACTTAATTTTTACTGTATTTTAGACCCCTTCCCTCCCCATCACAAAATTGAACCCATTTAACGTTTTAGAGTTGACCCAATCAAATATGGTTCGCTCCTTTCAATTTGAACGTACATGTAAACGGATATATACTGTTTGTTCTGTCTTTGTTTCGTTGTTCAATTATCCTGTATTGTGTATTTGTTTTACTGTAACCTATTGTAGGTAAAGGACCTAGTATATGGGATGATTTTGCCCATCAGTCAGGTAGAATAGCTAATGGTGACACAGGAGATGTAGCTTGTGATAGTTATCATAAATATAAAGAAGATGTTCAGATGTTAAAACATGTTGGGGTAAGAACACGTATTGTCATTGTACATAAAACCATCATTTATGTATGTATGATGTAATGTATGATGTAATATTCTTAAAGCCTCCATTGACTTTATTTCAATTTTTAATAAGAAAATGTCAGGGCAGAAAGTTGTAAAATATATTTTAAATTAAGATATATCTGCGACTGCCGGGAACAAATGATCAGTTGGGACTACCGGGACACGCGAAATACTAGACAGTAGTGTGAATTGTCGAGCCAATAACTTGCATTTGGATCGGTTGATTTTAGTAATTTGTCTCTAGAGAAACATGATTTTTTGTTGAGAAAACGTATAAAGGGGCATCATAGAAGATTAGATAAAGAGTTGATAGTTCTCGCTATAATAGTTTTAAAAAAGGCGATAACGTAAATATAATATGCTGAAAATTTCAGTCAAATTGCTCCACTCTGAACCGAGATATTTCATTTTGAATTTTAGACTAGCCTCGGTCATCATTACTAAAATCGATACAATAAAAAAATTACAATGTTTCGATTAACAACTTTTACGTTTAATTATTTTTCAAAAAAGATATTCCAATCCGCTAAATATCGCAATCTAGCGATGGCATCGAGGGTTGATTATGGCCTGGATAAGTTAACTAATGTCCAATGAATAGTTTATATAACATTTCAGGCCTCTTGGATAATGTATGTTTTATAACGGACCAACAAAAAACAAAACAAAACAAAACAAAAAATACTCTTCATAACTGTAACAAAAGAACCAGGACGTAACGAAAATACAAAGAAAAACAAATCTTTGAAAGGAAAAACGGACCATCTTACTATATACGTCTTTGTTTATTTTTCAAGGTAACATTTTACCGATTTTCTATTGCTTGGTCTCGGGTGTTACCAGATGGCACACTCGCATCTTTAAACAGCAAGGGTATCGATTATTACAACAGATTAATAGATGAACTACTGGCCAACAACATTACCCCTTTTGTCACATTATACCACTGGGATCTACCATCAGCGTTACAGAAGCAGGGTGGCTGGTTAAACGAGTCTATAATAGATCGGTATAATGATTACGCCAAACTCTGCTTCGAGAATTTCGGTGACCGGGTAAGACATTTATAATTAATGAGTATTAAAATAAAAATGTTTTTTTTTTGGAAACATTTAAGGTTTAAATAAAAATGTATACCCTTTTAAAAGCTAGGTTTTAATTGGGTCACTGATTCGAACTCAAACGTATTTCTATCCAAAATTATGTGACTTCTAACGACAAGGAAAAAAATGAAAAGGTAGACCTAATATGCTTATTAAATACCTATATTTGGATAGAGCAGCAATATAACAGACAGACAAAAAAAAAAAAAACCCAAAAACATCACAGACATCATATTATGATCGAGTTGGATATGACTACTAGCTGCGTCCTTGAAACGGACAAATGGTGGATGTTTAACACAGTTTATCTAAAATATAATCTTACATTTGCACTATAGCAGCAAGCGCAGATGCGGCACATGATTGAGCATGCGACCTTGAAACGAGCAAATGACGTATGTTTTTTAAACAGTGTATCTGGTATATAAATCTTACATTTGCATTGAAATTGTTTGCATGGTGTTATTAGCACAACCCTTGTATACTCATTAGTATGTCGGAATTCTTATTTACAGGTCAAACTTTGGTTGACCTTTAACGAAGCTTATGTGATTTCTTGGTTAGGCCATGGCAATGGTATATTTGCTCCCGGTATTAAAAGCCCTGGGACCGGTGTTTATCAAGTAGCTCATAATATAATTCGATCCCATGTCAAAGCTTATCATTCATACGACACCCTCTTTAGATCGAGATTCAACGGTAAGCATATTTATTTAGATTTTAATTAAATCAACATTACATATATACGTATGTAAATTGTGAATCAAAAATAAGGTTAAATAAACAATAGCTCCATTCCCAAATTCGGCTTATTTGAGGCCAGTTAAGTTACCAAGTGGTCCAAGGAAGGTCCAGCCCAGTCTTCCATTGACAGTGGTACACGCCGGAGGGTTTTGCCGTTCGGATTCGACCGGGACGGGAAACCGAGGTCCCGTATATAGAATTTACAACTGTAAAAGATCATCTAAAAGTTAAAAACCGAAATAAGAGTAGGTCGTGTCGCCGCTGTCCACTTAGAATTTGCCACATCACATTACATGGCGTATGGTGTTGTAAATTAAGAACAAATCCCCATTTAATTGACAAAAATTCCTAATCGTATTAACCTCAAAATAACTGAAGTATTCTGTTGACGTGATCTTAAACTGCATTTTCTCCATTCATTAGTAAATTCCCAACGTCAACCTCATAGACGTTGTGGTTGAGTCACACCTTACAGTGTATTGCTCTATTTATGGCAGAAAGCGTCCAACAAATTTTGTAAAATTAGAGCCGCGCAAAAAGAAGTCAACCAACGGGAAAATCTATGAATATATCGCCAGGGCTTCATTGCTGCTGTACACATACAAAGGGAGACAATTCAGTAAAGTCGAGCAGGATAAACACCAAAATGTAAATTTAAACAACTTTGTTCCGATTCCAGATAAAAATAAAAGGCCAACAATAAAAGGGACGGAGTGTAAAACGGGGCTTAACGGGACGCCAGCATCAACCGGGATATATTAGGCAAAACCGACGACAACCAAAATACTGACACAAAATCAGATTCATTTAATGTCTACAGATCTTCACAAATCGGACTAATGGAGACAGAGTATATTATAAACAAATAACAATTTATATGTATTCCGATAAACTAACCTTATGACACGGGCTTAACGCTAAGATTTCACGGTACCTTCAGATTGTGTCCAAAGACTGGAATGATGTGAGATTGAGTTCAATATTACTTAGGTCTTTTAGAGACTAACATACTGCAAATTTTATGCTAACGCGTGTAATGCGATAATCCATATAAACAATGTTTTTTTTTGCAATTCGTTATATTCTAACTGTATATTAAAGGAGTTGCGGTTTATGTTGAGACCATCTTTTACAGGTAAAGTAGGAATTACATTAGATATAGAATGGAAAGAACCGTTTACCATGTCTTCTGCTGACAGTTACGCTGCGGAGAGAGCTCTTCAGTTTAAATTAGGATGGTTTGCTAATGCCATATTCGGTAATGGCGATTATCCAAGCGTCATGAAACAGTACGTGGCGGCAAAGAGTAAGAGTCAACATTTGCTAAAATCCAGATTACCAGAATTTACCGACGACGAAAAGAAAATGAATGCAGGTTTGTATTTAAAATGGCACTACCTGATTACTGGTACAGGTACCTTAACCTTGAGGGTGGTTGGGTGGCTGAATGGTTAGCACGTGCTCGCTGTACCATAAAGTCTGTCATTGAGTCAACTGGCGTGGTTTCGAATCCCCAGCTGTACGTGGCAAGGAGTAGGGTCACCTGTCCAACCTCGTGGATTTTCTCCGGGTCCTGCGGTTTCCTCCCACTGCTAATGACCCATACGCGCAAGCGAATCGTTGAAATAAAATTTTAAAAAACATATGTTAGTCCCGAAATGACCTAGTTTGTGTCGAATGGACGTTAAACCCCATCTCTCTCTCTCTCTCTCTCTCTCTCTCTCTCTCTCTCTCACCTCAACCTTGAAGATGACCACACTTGGTGATTCTTTACTTTATCCGATTTGCCTCGGCGTGTTTTAGTTTGAAGAGATTGGCCCTACCTGGAGACATTTTATTGGCTATTTTAATTGGTTGAAGGTCTGGTGAAAGTCAGAAAGACCCTGCATTTGTCGGGTTTTGATCCTGCGACGATTTGGAGGTTATTGAGAATGAGAATATTCAATCCGACCCTCAACCTGATATATTTTGCATTGCTCATAAGCTTACATTTTATCCTGCGTGTCCGGAAAAACATTTAAAAATGTCGGTACATGGTAATCTGTTGTTTTGTATACAGTAAAGTAAAAACAAAGTCGGTAATGTACCGCATGAAATGTATAAGATTTAGTTTCTCGAACATGGTATACAGTAAGTTATACTATGGACGGAATCCATAAGAAAATTCTTGAAACCTCAGAATCTTCGAAAAGCCAGCATAAAACAAGGCTTATCTTTCTGATTCTCCCAATTATAAAATTCAACAAAAGGTTTCAGAGGTAATTAATTTAACGCCCAGGACTAACTTTGTCTGTACGATTCTGCAAACAGATTAGAGATACGTTAGACACCCGTGTAAACATATCTGAGATACAGATGTTTTACGATTCGATTCATGTGAAGTGCTTTAAAGGAGGTTCAGCGAATAGGACTTTGTTCTAGATTGTCCGGGACTTGGTTTTCAATTTTAAAATGCATAACGGTTATTTTAAAAATGATATTATTTAAATTAATTAATGTTATTTTTCTTGTTGAAAGTGTCATTTCATCTTTAAAGGCATTACGTTTAGACTCTCCCCGCTGTTGTGCTGCACAAGCGCTGTTATAGATCAGAGTTGTTAGATTCCATAAGACGTTTTTAATTCGCACCATACATAAGAACATAAATCACGTTATTTTTGGCTTATCTGGGAGAAAGTGTTTAATGTAGTAAATTAACTGAACTAACAACGTTTATTTGAATTCAATTTTACATTAAGATAATCTCGGCATTGTTATTTAATTTGTGCCGTTTCTGTTTGTAGGATCGTATGACTTTCTTGGTATTAATCACTATACAACAAATCTCGTGTCTGATGTACCCAATACAGATAGTACCCCCAGCTATGAACGCGATCAAGATATTGAGACAACAACGGATCCATGTTGGGAAAAGTAAGAACACAACCTTAGTTTCATTGTTCAAGTACATTATCGATACTAGTGTTTCAGAAAATAGCCCGAAACCGATGGGCACGTTCTGTAATGTTTTTGTTGTTCTTAACGTTTAATCCGACATCGTCTAGCGACTGAATACTCTACCTTGGTCATCAGCCATATGTATCCAGTGTGTCGATTGGACTCGGTTCGTCGAAACCCAAGTGATTTTTTATGATTTATTTTAGGAGATCTGTACCTGTATAATTTGTACGCCTTGCCTCGTCCCATCCGAACAGACGCTCTTTCTTACGTCACTGGCAAGGGGAAAGCACACTGGAAAATCACGAGGAAGTTTCTCGTCCAACACCAGCGCCTAACTACGGAAGATTGAGTGTGTAATTAGATTGTTATGTGTTGAGTTAGTCTCAGTATTATCCAGTATTTTTCGCCAAGTCAAGTAACAGTTGCGCCCCTTCTTGCGATAAATCCCATAATTCTTGCATTATTATAAGCAATCATGAATCGTGACGACGAATTAGGATTAATTAAAAATGAAGTGAGAAATTTTATAATAAAAAAATTAAGAGTGTTGGATATTGAACTGGCAATGGAATCAAATGGATTTTCTGAAATGGCATTCTTAAATTAATTTCATGGGCGTCGACTTCTTGTTTTAGGAATAGTTACCTCCCTTAGACTTTGTTTATGATAATGTAAAAGACCGGATATTCTAGCCAATGACCTATTATTCTCAAATGTTGACAACGCATCCAGATTAATATTCATAGAATATTTTTCTGGGTGATAGAGACTAGTGTTGAGTACACCGTGAAATTTTAAAATTATAAAACAAAACATTATTTTCATGTAAATTGTCATAAATTCAAATCGCAATGGGTAATAAGGAATAGAGTTTCAGGATAATGATTTTAAAACATCGACCATTTTTTGGAGGGATTTTTTTTCAGGACACCCGTTGATTGGCTCCGTGTTAATCCATGGGGTATTAGAAAATTATTAAACTATATAAAGTCACGATATGGTAATCCTACTGTATATATTACTGAGAGTGGTAGACCGGATATTGATGGTTTAGATGACCAAGGAAGGATCAGATATTACAAGTCATACACCAATGAATTGATGAAAGGTATGTAAGCATATTTAATTTAAATACGCGGGCTGGACGGTTCACCGAATCTGGGAGGATAGAGCTTATCCCAAAACAGTATTTCTACTAATATATCTGTAAACCTTTAGTTCAGATTGGATTTGAGGCTTGATTTGAATTGAAACAAAGCATCTATAAATATGTAATTTTCTCACTAAAAAAGATATATGGAAAACCTAAATAATATTGTAAGGGAGAGGCTATTGTAATGAAGAGAAAAAAAAATCAAATGTAGTTTGATGCCTAATTGTTCGGTATCAACCAGGATAATGAAGATGTACGTACGCCATACATTATGCTGTAGGGGGAATTTGGTCCTAACAGCGACGTTACGGTCTGCTCTTTATTTCGTATTTTGAGTTCTTTTACGTGCACGCCAACGTGTGCACTGGACCTCAGTTTTAAATTCCATCCGAATAACTAGACGCTGCCCATCACAGCCACCCCCTTCCTGCACCATTGACAAGGGGAAATAACGCTGGGAAGTTTGGGGAACTGTCTAGGTCAACAGCGGGATCAATCCCCGGACCTCCTGATTAGTGAGCCACGGTCAAGCTAAAACCACGACGGAGCACGATCAAACCCTGGACCATCCGGGAAGTGAGTCGCCGCCTTACTGATTCACCGCGACTCCCTTGCACACTGACGACACTTGCTAGGAAAGCAGGAATACTAGCTGTACACGTACAATGCTCGCCCTTTTTCCGAACTGTAATCTCTGGCGTATGCTCGTCTTCATTATAGTGCAGAACAGTAAGACATTAAACTCCATTTGATTTCTTTTCTCTTCATTACAATGTTGTCGCTCCCATTACAGTATTATTTAGTTTTGGTCATACCCATTTTAGTGAGAACACTAAATATCTGTAGATGCTATGTTTCAGTTTAAAGATTTGTTAGAACTTTAGCCTCAACTCCTATCTGAAAAAAGGTAGAACTCATATATGCCCTTGTGTGCAGTTTATCAGAATAAATTCGTTAAACAAAATACTGTAATAATTATTGAAATGTCCATAAAGGGAGATAACTCCTTTTACTGTAAATGGATTTCCAAAATTCCGTATGTTCCTTTGCCCATTATGTTGTCTGCATTTTGCTTTAAATCAAAATATAACTAATAGCATATTCTTTGCATATTATGAGGGTGTTTTCGCCATTATTTAATTTTATTTGAACTTCAGAATTATTAGAATAAATATAGCATTTACGTGACAATATCACAATCTAATTTTCGTCTGGCCCAAAATTGAGTTATAGCAAACATTTTGCTTGGAACTCTCTGGATTTGTGTTCCTAGCGGAACTTAACCCTAAAAATGTTGACTGCGGGCCTATAACATTTAAAGCCACACTAAAGGCCTGCAATAGGCAGATTTAGCCTTGACATAATGTTCACTAGTCGATTGGGAATATGGGCTAATTGGTTATTATTAAGGTTTAAACCATCTGTGGCTGTAACGTCGTAGTAGGCCTACATTCAATTTCAGATAATCGTTCACAGTTTCAAAATCATATCAGTCCGTATATTTCCTCTCTCATTATTTTAGCTATAAATGTTGATGGATGTAATGTTAAAGGCTACACAGGTTGGTCCTTGATGGATAACCTTGAATGGACATCCGGTTACTCTCTTAGGTTTGGAGTACATTACGTCAACTTTACGGATCCTGCCAGACCACGTACTCCTCGAAAGTCTGTTGATTTCCTTAGAAATCTGTTTTCAAATAATGGATTTTACAAACAGTAACTATAATAGACATAGATATATAAACTGTTTAAACAGAGCTATTGTACATATATTTAGCATAAAATGTTAACGTGATTAATACTATACTATGTTAATGTGTGTTACTGTGAATAAATCATAAACCGTTAATATTATTTAAAACACGCCATGTTAATGCAAATATAATTATTAAAATGTTAATATGAATAAATCATGAAACGTTAATGTCAGTAACCTATATATATGCCACTATCCCGTGTCTCGGCAACAAAAAGGAAGTAGTTGTGGCATTATCGTCTAGGAGCTTCTCTGATTTCACTTTGTGGGATTTATTATTTCAATCATCAATTAACTGACTCTGGAACACCGTTTATGTTGTTACGAAGTTTATATAACAAATACAGCAAACTACAAAGGTTAAACACAGGTAAACTACAACGTCTATTATAGATACTTTGGGAGTTATTAAAATATTCACGGTCTGAGTTTAACATCCTTTATAACTCTGACTTAACAGTTTAAACATCACATTTTGTCTCTATCCCAGCCTCTCAGCCGAGGCGGGTGTGGGTATGACGTTCCCTTAGGAACTCAAGGATTGTGTCTTCTCTAAGTCTCATCATGATGTGAAATAAAACTCGCTCTTTTTTATATACAGCTATTGGGGCGGGACAAATACCATTTTTGGGTGTTTCATATGGGCACCATTTAGCGTCAACATTATTCTAATTAATTGGACTAATCTGTGCACCAGTTGCCTGGAAGATAGTACTAAGTTTCAGATTTTATGAGCTCATCTACCGGGTTCTATCGGCTCGAAAACACGGGGCAATTTTTTGAAAATTTGTGTCTGAAACCATATTCGAGGCCAATTTGCTGGTGCGTTTTCATATGTTTCTTGCGTAGTACTACCGGCAATCTCTAGATATGCCAAAATATGGGCCTATATCTATTACTTTGTAGCTCCTTGAGCACCCAGAAATCCTGAAAATATACAATTACACCAACTTTTTTTCGGTTTTCATGGCCAAGTAGCATGCGAACCATACCATTCACCTGTTATCTGATTACCGATTAGTAATGTACACATCGAGTTCTTTACGACTATTAAATTTGAGTCCTATATACCTTCACTAGAAACGTAAAAACAAGATACCTGAAATTCAAGTAAATTATTAATACATATTTTGTTTCAAAAACTTTATCAATAACTCATAAAACTGAAATGCCTACATCCCAGTCAATGTTGAAGCTACAGACCACAAATTTTACAGTTTCTGGTATTTACATGTACAATAACATATATTTTTTCCAGATTTTTTCGAGGGTGTCGATTTCCCACCCCTGGCCCACTTGACATGAAATGAGCCAATAGGCAGATTTAGCTCGGCTCTAATGATTACGTCCGCTTTACATCACAAGAACTTCTTTTGTTACAGCTTGTGTCCGCTTAACAATAGAGCTAGAACTAGTTTTGGAAGCCATTTTACCTACTTGACAATCAATGGACTACTCTATTTAAAAAACAATTCAAAAACCAGAGTCTAGGATATGGTCAGGGGAAACGTCCTGTCGTAGCTGCACATTATTGGCTTGAAATTAGTTTTTCTTTCACCTTCAACTTAGTGATTAACCAACCAATATTCCCGCGCAGATGATTAACATCTGAGATAAACCGATTAGTATCGAATTCTCGCATTCAGACAGTGGACAATCTGTTCGATGCCAGTGATTCTCTCTGCAGGATGTAGATCCTGAATCACGTCGCACCGAATCCATTTCTACCAATGCTCTTCCATGTGGGCCACAGACATGTTTGGCCGCCTGTTATCAACCTAAGGACGAGCGGGGTTATCAACGGGACAGGGATGACTCGTCTCCCACCTGACTAAGTTTCTCCCAATATCCGTTCTCTGATGGCACGATGGAAGTTTACCCACTTCCTGGTGACGAATTTATGTTCCACAAATACCGTTTCTTCAGTGCGAATAAACAACAACTGTCATACACTATAGCGCCACATGACAAGCAGTAATAACGACGGCCACGAATGACCGAAGATAAAATGTTAATGGATGTTTAGAGTTTTGTTTCATGGAGTTTTTAGAAAACTTATGCCTTATTGATTTTGACATTTCTAAATGGGTTTTTGAATAGGTATAACGGAAACAACACAACTTTTATGGCGATTGATATCAAATAAACACGTATAGATTACAAATCCTTTGGGTGTAGCCATTATTTCTACCAGACCATAAGGACATTTATTATCAAAGATAACATACATGTATGTTTACATGACGGGAGTGGAATGCAATTCAACGTATTATTAGAGCACGAACTAATGTAACTTAGGAAGTCATGACGATTATGTGATTATAATTATTACAGGTCATCATCAATGTTTAAAATACATTTGAACAAACCAAATTGTGTAAATATTATACTCATTACCACAGTGACATAGCTCTTTCATCCGATCGACCTGAATATATGAAAGATCGTCTAGTTTGTTCCAAAAGTAGTGAATGGAACTGTGAGTTAGTGGTTATATACAGAAGCCCGTATTTGCTAGACACTATTTGGAAAAAGGCATTGTGATGAATATGCTGCAAAACGTGTCTATTCTCCTGGTTCTGTTAGCCGGTTCCCTATGTTTTGTACATGGAGCAACGTTTGAAGATCTTAAATTATTACAAAAAACTATTTTTACAAACTACAGTAATTTACTACGACCAAAGTATAACTTTAGTGAACCAACCTTCGTTGGATTCAACTTGAATATTTCTGACGTTATTGAAATGAATGAAATTCAACAAATTTTGAAGCTATTTTGTAGTTTTCAGTTATCGTGGACGGACGACTTTTTAAGGTGGGATCCGAATTCATTCGGGGGTTTATCCAAGATACAAATTGATTCTCATCTTGTCTGGAAACCGGATATAGATTTACTAGGTTCTGTAGATGAATCTGATTTGTTTGTTCAAAAGAATGCCAGATTGACTGTGTTTAGTAATGGGGCGGTTCATTGGTATCAACGTCAATTAATAACTGTTAAATGTGAACTGAAGGTGGAACGATTTCCGTTTGACAGGAGCAGCTGTAACCTTATATTTGTACCTCTAAAATACACTAGTGAAGAGGTCCAGCTTGTGGAACTAACGGACAGAGACAATTATCATATCAAGGTCTACGGAGAATGGAATTTCGATGTCATTTCTTTCGCAGTTTCAAATCTCAAATTTGATAACACCGATTATGATGTATCTTCATTTAACATATCGATACGATTTACACGCAATCCTTTGTTCTTTGCAGTCAGTGCACTTTTCCCCGTCGTACTTCTCTCCTTCTTAAACGTATTTGCATTTTGTCTGCCGGACAATTCTGGAGAAAAGACCTCATTTTCAATCACATTATTGTTGGCTTTAGCGGTATTTCTGACGTCCATTGAAAGTTCTCTTCCAAAATCTTCTACGAACGTAAATTATATTACGTTGTACATCACATCTTTGTTAGTCATAAGTTGCCTGATAGTAATGACCAATATATTTCTCTTGTACTTTCACCATAAGCTCCAACGAAAGGAGGAGTGGGAACGGAACCATGACACCGCACAGGATACCACAGACAATACACTGACCCACAGGATTCTCCAAAAGCTGAAGTGTATATGGAACAGAATGAGATGCAAGTCCAAACACGACAGTAAAAGCGGTTGTACTATTGATATGCTGATATTCTTGTTTTACCTTGGTGTGTGGCTGACTGCTACATTATTTTATTTCACTTACTCAAATGGTGTGGATTTCGGTCTTGATTTACGGATTCGTGTCTAATTCTTTTGTGCCATCGCTCGCACCCCTGTTCGTCCGGGTGTTCGACCGTTCAGATTAATTTTGTTTGTGGACATTCTACAGGTAACAATTTTATCGGATTTTGATGCAACTAAAAATATATGTTTGTATCCCAAAGCTTTCGAACCGCAATTTCCTAGATGGTTTATCCAGTGTAAGCTATAGTTCTTTCTTGTCGGTATTACACTGTTTAGTCAAAATTACAATTATAACTGTGGTCGATGACTATTGTTATCCCTAAACATAGCTGCGCTGTGGATATATAATTTTAGAACTTGGGTGATATTTGTTTTATCAGAATTTGTTGCTATTGATTTTTGAGTTAATCCACCGGTGAATTGGATTTTTGTAAACTCGCATGACTTATGTGTAATTGATAGTGTATGCTTAAAGAACCTATTTTGTTGTGACAAAATTTATATAGCCTGCGATAGTTGTGTAAGTGTGTTAATGTATTATGTTAAAATCTGTAATATTTGTATATGTGTATAAATATAATGTATTTTGTATATGTTGTGCTTAAAATAAATATTTTGTTGTAATAAAATAAATATTTTGTTGTAATAAAATAAAGATTAAGATTTTATTGTAATAAAATAAAGATTTTGTTGTATTTTGTTGTAATAAAATAAATATTGTGTTGTAATAAAATAAATATTGTGTTGTAATAAAATAAATATTTTGTTGTGATAAAATTTATATAGTGTTATTTTTGTATATGTAAATTATTATTATATTGTGCTAAAATCTGTAACATGTGTATAAACATGATGTGTTTTGTACATCTCGTTTTTATTACCACACACTGCAGTAAAGTCGGGTGGTACTAATGTGCCATTATACCTTAGTACTGCAATTTATATAGCAGTTTTAATAGTCCCAATTTCTCCTATTAATTAAGGTATTGGTCAATGAAGCCCAATGACGTAAGAAATAGCCAAATATGGGCATTAGCCTAGCATTGAGTATCTAGTGGTTGGAGGAAAATTAGTTTTAATCACTGTCTTTACTACACCGCAGAAAATGTAAGACAGATTGATTATATTTTGTATGGAAACTCACAATAACTCACAGGATGAACTCGCCAGCCAACAGAACACCCAGACTTCTTTTTATTGTCATGTAATATACTATTCAAAAAAAGTAGGGGATATTTGATTTTTAAGTGTTATTAAAGTCACCTAATGAAACTGACGAAGAAACAAATGACAAAATGAAATGAAGTTCACATTCATCGATTTATTCCAAATGATCGTTAGACTAAGTAAGGCACAGACTGACCATTATAAGGGTAAAATGATACCCGGGGTCAAACAGCAAAGTTACCACAGCATCACAACCAAGTCAGTAACGGGTAAATCCTCCTCTGTTTGCCAAACAAGCATTGATCCGACGTGGCATACTCCTAATGAGACGTCTAAGGTCATTTTGGTCCAGATTGTCCCATTCCTGTTGCAACGCAGCAGCAAGTTCTTGGACATTGGCAGGACGTTGTTGACGTTGACGTAACCTCTGTCAAAGCATGTCCCAGACATGCTCGATGGGGGGAGAGGTCGGGACTCAGTGCTGGCCAAGGTAATGTGGTGATGTTCTGTTGTTGGAGGTAACCTGTAACGATCCTGGCCCTGTGACATCTTGCGTTGTCATCCTGGAAGATGAAACGGCGGCCATGACGTCGTGCGAACGGCACAACATGGACTGCCAAGATGTTGTCCCGGTAGTACTGGCCTGTAACACGCCCTGCAACAACATGTAAAGCCGTTCTTCCAGCAACAGTGATGCCTCCCCACACCATAACAGAACCACCCCCAAATCGATCATGTCTGATGACGTTAACGTCTTGGAAGCGCTCGTTTCGACGACGCCACACCCTCCTACGTCTGTCCCGAAAATCAACAGTGAACCTTGACTCATCTGAAAACATCACATTGCTCCAGCGTCGATTATCCCAGTGTTGACAATCCCTACACCAACGACGTCTTGCCTGAATGTGATGATCTCTCAAACAAGGGATCACGCGAGGACGTCGGGCGCGAAGGTGACCCCTATGCAGTCGATTCCGAATCGTCTGGCCACTCACTCTCACACCAGTGTCTGTTTCAAGACGAGCGCTGATCTGATTTGCTGTGATGACACGATTTCTCAAGGCCAAGGTACGGATAAATCGATCCTGGGCTTGAGTTGTCGCCCTTGGTCGACCTGAGCGTGGTCTGTCCTGTACAGATTGTGTATCACGGTATCTGGACCATAGCCTGCTTATGACAGACTGCGAAACATTCATCGTCCGCGCCACAACCGCCTGTGTTGTGCCGATCTGTAGCATGCCAAGGGCACGTAACCTTTCATTTTGGGTAAGCCGACGCATATCAAAATTTGTTTTCTGGTCACTAAAACAATTAAACTGATGTTTCCACCCTGGAATTCAATGCCACAATGACTGTAACATTCAAAGTCAGAGTCGTGCAAATCTTGGGTTGGACCCCCATGATGATCCCAAGCATCACCTGCATTCCATGCGGTAGCTATTGGTGCGTTTGGGCGTCACATGTAACTGGAAATGTTTCTTCTGTTAGGTTCTATAGTGACTTTTTTCGCAGTCATTTGCATATTTTAGTATTATGCCCCCAAAATCAAATATCCCCTACTTTTTTTGAATAGTATATAACCTGTTTGTATGATAAGTTGATAAACCCGGTTTGGTTAACGTCATAATACCATTTAACTAGGTCTACTACCTGATATATTTTAGTGACTAAATGTGATTAAGTTAAAGAGAACAATTAGAGATAGTGATCGCTAGGACGATGATTGATTACCTAATAACCAAAACTAAACAGACAGGGTGTATTAATATTGCTAGAATTTTTGCTCTTATAATTAATGGTGGCATTATATTTCATTAATTAATGTCTTTGGCCAATTGTACTAAATGTAGACTAAAAAATATAAGTGACAAGTGGACACATAAAAAGAATTATAGAACCAAAACATAGCTGCTTATATGTGTCCGCAACATGTTACCAGATTACACGCGAGTGGAAATATATTAATTGCATCATTTGGCTTAGTTTAACCAATCATATCAGAAATAGCACAGGTTCAAGGCCATGAATAGGCTTTTCTGTGCGTGATGTCCATATGTCCTATAAAAGAAATCATGGCAAACTTTTAAGGCAGATTTCATTGGATTCCGGAGAGTTTACCATCTGAATTCCTGCATGGACAACCGCTTGATTCCAGAAGGGAAAAGATGTAACAGGTTCTGTCAGCAGACTCGCCCAACGAGTCTGGCTGAATGAGGTTTGAGAGAATGACTTTATTCTATTATGCATTGTACCATATGTAAGCAGCTATGTTATATAAAATGTAAAAACAAACACTGTTGCATTGCTATTCCCGGTAAGAGAAACGTCTTAAGAAAACAGTAAAAAGTAAATACACAACGTGAAGCAGAAGCAAAGACAGCAAGAGATAAATTCTAGACGATCACAAGGCTACTAAGATATGTAGTAAGTAAAGATGCATGGGTCGTACGTAGGATGTGGCGGCCAGTTAGGGTCACCCGCTCTCCACGTCTGACAGAAAACTCATGGTGCTACAAAGGCAGCGAATTATAGCAGCGGTTCCTGTGGCTGCAGCCTCCAACCTGGAAATTGAAAATACATATTGAGCATTGCATTTTTTCAATTTCTTGGTTTGGCATGATTATGATATATTATTGTTTATTTGAGAGTTTGACTACTGTAAGGAGTTGTTGCTATGGTTTATCCATGACCCAGGTAATTGAAACACAAAGGGAGATGATTTCACGTAGCACGACCGGTATATTTAAAGGACAATATTGGTGCCAGTCATTATCACATATGTGATAGAGCTGGTTAAACACATTCCAAATATAATTTTAACACCGAGATCATTGCTACGATAGCTGAGTAATACATGTTCCTGAATCGGAAGTGACGAACTACAAAGGAAAACACGAGTCATGCCTTTATATAACTGACTGATGTGACGAGTGATAACAGATACACGGCCGTATTTCTGATCACTAATAATTCTTTCGAAGACCAAAAGTTGTTGTATGAGATTGTGAGAGGATATCTGACAATTCATAAAAAGAATTGACTGCCACTAGATAAGTGAACACGAAAGAAAAACAGAAAAAGTCCGTGCATTATGTTTTTATATGATATAGAATGAATATAAACATGGGAATGTACGGACTTTTTCTATTTTTCTCGTGTTCTCTTATCTAATGACATTCAATTACTTTATTGAATTGTCAGGTAATGGATATACGGCTGAATTTCTGCTCACTAATAAGTCCTTCGAAGACCAAAATTTGATATTTGGGACTGTAAGAGGGGGGGGGGGGTGAAAGACTAAAGCAGAAGAACAGGATTGATTATATTTTTGGTAACCAGGTGGAGAAATCTCTTGTGTGTCCGGAGTCCACGTGTTAGCATCTGTGTGTGTAAAAAAAGCTTTATTTAACACCCGCTCCCACCGACGTGATATCGCAGATCAGTCCGCGGTCTAGCTATTTTTATATGCCATTAGATGTCATGTGAATTGCCCAACTTGAATGGCTCTGTAAATACTGAGACATAATTTAGATAAACACGTGTAGATGACTAATGCGTTCTACAAGTTAATAAATACATTAACTGTCAGAGATCGACCGAAAGTTAATAAATAGCATATTACTTGTATTTACATGATAGAATCCAATTGCAATTATTGCTAGAACACGAACTAATTATTTTATATAATCAAAAATCTTTGATATAGGTCTACGTTTCAACAAACATGTTTTTTATTAGTACATGAACTATCTATTACCGTTATGGTATAGCTACTTCATATATAACAGATATTATGTTATTTGTTCAAACAGTAGTTTAACATGACCGTGAGCTGTTGATGTCCAGAAGCTCGGTGTGTTTTATTATTGAAAGTCATATTTCTAGAATACTGTTCGGAAATCTGCACTAATATATGAATATGCTGAAAAACGTGGTTATTCTCCTAATCATATTTACTGGTGGTCTTGTTTTTGTACATGGAGCTACGTTTGCAGATGTTAAGTTACTGGAAACAACACTGTTTACAAATTACAGCAATTTACAAAGACCCAATTATAACTTTAGTGAACCAACGGTCGTTGGATTCAACTTGAATATTTCTGATGTTATTGAACTGAATGAAATTCAACAAATTTTGAAGCTATTTTGCTGTTTCCAGTTATCATGGGCGGACGACTTTTTGAAGTGGGATCCGAATTCATTCGGCGGGTTATCCAAGATACAAGTTGATTCTCATCTTGTCTGGAAACCGGATATAGATCTACTAGGTTCTTTAGATGATTCTGATCTGTTTGTTGGAAAGAATGCCAGATTGACTGTTTTTAGTAATGGGACAGTTCAGTGGTATCCGAGTCAATCAATAGCTATTAAATGTGAACTGACGGTGAACAGATTTCCGTTCGATACCAGCTCCTGTAACCTCATATTTGTACCTCTGAAATACACTAATGAAGAGGTTCAACTTGTAAACCGAATGGACAGAGATAATTCTTATAAAATTGTATACGGAGTATGGGAATTCAATTTCAGTTCTTTCGGAATTGCAAATCTCAAATTTGGTAAAATCGAAAATGTTGTATCTTCATTTAAAATATCGATTCAATTGACACGTAATTACGTGTTCTTTTTAGTCAGTGCATTGCTTCCTATCATAATCCTATCCTTCCTGAACGTATTTGCATTTTGTCTTCCGGATGATTCTGGAGAAAAGACCTCATTCTCAATCACCTTACTGTTGGCCCTAACGGTATTTTTGACGAATATTACCGGTTCCCTACCCAAATCCTCTCAGACGGTGACTAACATTACGTTGTACATCACCGGTTTGTTAATCACAAGCTGCCTGATAGTAATGACCAATATATTTCTCTTGTACTTTCATCATAAGCGCAAGCGAAAAGAGGAATGGGAACGGAACCATGGAACAGCCCAGAATGCTACTGATCATACAAGAATTTCAAAGATTTTCAAAAAGCTAAAGTATATATGGAACAGAATAAGATGCAAGTCCAAGCACGACAGCAAAAGCGGTTGCACTGTTGATATGTTGATATTCGTTTTTTACCTTAGTGTGTGGCTAGCTTTAACAGTCATGTACATCTCTATGACTCTATGGGGTTTGGATTTTAACAGCTTTCTTTCCTAAATTGTGTGTAAATACTTACCGTTGCTGGTCATGGTGTGTAAATACTTACCGTTGCTAGTCATTGTATGTAAATACTTCCATTGCCATTCGTTTTTTTTACCTTTCTGTGTGACTGGCTTCAACAATCATGTACTTCTCTGTGTGGTGGGGATTATAACAGCTTTCTTTCCTAAACTATGTGAAAATACTTAGTGTTACTGGTCATTGTGTGTAAATACTTACCGTTGCTAGTCACTGTATGCTTACGTTTGTCAGTCATGGTATGTAAATACTTATATTTTCCAGACTTGGTGTGTAAATACTAACTACTGCTTGTCACTGAACATTCCATTCGCCCAAGCGGAACCGTAAACTCTGTAAAAAAAAACAACATTGACGTCATTATTTGTAAATATTTTCCCGTAGCCAGTCATTGAACATCTTATTCGCCCAATCGGAACCATACAATTTGACATTTTAATGTGCACGTAGTTTGGATGGGAAGAAAACTGGGGGGTTGGATGGCTGAATGGTTAGCGTGCGCGCGCGCGCTATATCATAAAGTCTGTCATTGAGTCGACTGGCGTGGTTTCGAATCCCCGGTTGTACGTGACAAGGAGTAGGGTCGCCTGTCCAACCTCGTGGGTTTTCTCCGGGTCCTCCGGTTTCCTCCCACTGCTAAAGACCCCTATGCGCAAGCGAATTATTGAAATAAAATTAAACCATATGTTAGTCCCGAAATGACCTAGTTTGTGTCGAGTGGACGTTAAACCACATTTCTCTCTCTCTCTCTCTCTCTCTCTGGGAAGAAAACTACACGTACAAAAAACACCTTGACAGATGGGGTTTGGTATAGGAGTAGGCCAATTTTCATTATCCCGGTCAGTCCAGAACACGACGTTTAGCCTTATTTCATTTCATTTCGACTTATAGATCAAGCTCGTCGCGTTTCTTCAAGTTCATATTTGTTTTCCACTGAACTATGCCAATATTATAAAATAAGGAATATTTTTCATCGACAATTTTATTACATGAGAGTACATTTTTACCAGCTATAAAATTATTTCTAGGTCAAAACTGCTAAAATTTAATCTTGAGGTAGTTGGTACATTATAAATTACACGTATTCTCACGCAATAAAAACAGTAAAAATATTGCTAATGTTATAACTTATGTTTTTCGATTCTCTGCCACTGGGCTTGTTAAACCGAACGCAGACAATGGAATATTTATGTCGACGAACATAAACACTGAACACTGTTTTTTGTGTCCGCAGATGACGAACATGGTAACGCAGACGAACGAACGTTTTATGTCGAACAATAAGTCTAGCGCCACAATACAATCACCGCACAATATCAACCACCCAATGACCTAATATAAATCACGTGATTTCAAAATGGCATACATATCACATGACATTTGAATGCCATGTGATCGCTGTTTGGTGCGTGGAAAAAAGACTTCCTCGAATGTTCGACTTCGACGCAAACGGCAAACTGGATTCCAAATATCTAACAATAAGTCGAACAATAAGTCTAGCGCCACAATAAAATCACCGCACAATATCTACCACCCAATGACATAATATAAATCACGTGATTTCAAAATGGCATTCAAATGTCATGTGATCGCTGATTGGTGCGTGGAAAAAAAGACTTCCTCGAATGTTCGGCTTCGACGCAAACGACAAACTGGATTCCAAATATCTAACACGCTTGTTGCTTTTTTTGTTTTTTGTTTTTTTTGAAGCCCCAGACGGGGAACAAATTGATCGGAATACTTTTGGCATTTGACAATTTGCGAAGCGAATCACCCGGTTAAACTTGTGTGATATTTTATTGATGAACTGTTGTAAATATCTGCGTTACAGAACATATCCACATTACCTGTAATTGCGTTAATTGGTAGGTCTAATATGTATGATACTTTGAGTCCGCTTTTCACCCAGAAGCAACAACGGTTGCCATATTCTTTGATCTGGGGAAGGATGATTTATATCCCACCCCAAAACTCAGGAAGACATTCTGAAAGCCCTCAAAATATTGATCAAACCGCAACAATGGTTGTATGCACAGGCACTTGAAGGGATTAAAATAAAACTTCTTACTACTGCTTGGCTATATATTATAGGAACTGGGTGATCCAGACTGCACCTGCGGCGCGGCCTCGCTTCGTAGGCTCGATCATTTACCGACCAAATTTCGAGTAACGGATAGGTTTATAAGGGACTGGGTGATACAGACTGCTACAAACAAATCTTATTTCCGGGCTGATGAAGACGAATTTCGGCAAGTGACAGCGCTTCACGTTTGATTTGTAATTAATAACGCTGTAAAATGGCCAATTTAATTACATCGGAAGCTGAATAATGATCAAATAAGGCCTCGTTGTCAATGAAAACGACGGGTAGTGTTAGAACTAGTGAGTATTGTGAGATGTTAGCAGACGTAATGCCTTGAAGACGTGAAAACAAAGATGGCGGCTGAAATACCTTCTTATATACTATAATATATAGTCAAGCAGTAGTAAGAAGTTTTATTTTAATCCCTTCAAGTGCCTGTGGTTGTATGGGATAACCTCGCTAGTCTTATTACCTGAAAGGGCTGGACATCTATCACAACCAAGGACTTATAGTTAATGAAAATTCTGTTGTAAGGAATTTTGTTTGATATTAAACTTTGAGCTATTTGATTAAAGGTACATTAGATAAGATTTAGATAAAGAGCTAGCCATTCTTGCTATAATAGTTCGACAATAGATAATGTAAAATGAATAATTTGAAAATTTCATTCAAATTACTCTATTGCGAGCGAAGATATTAGCCTTTGAAGGTTTGACAAGACGTGTGGATTAATTGCAACCACCGTACTGGTTGTTCGAAGCTAAGTCTCGCTCCTCCATTTTTAGATTAAATCAAAATATGGCTGAACTGTTCTAATCTGTTTAATATCGGATATATTCGATGGCATCGAGAGGTGATTATGGTCGTGTCATGTTAATAAATGTCTAATTAATAGTTGATATGACATTTCGGGTCTAAAGAAAAACACGCAATAGACAGATTTAGCTCTTGCATAATGTATGTCTAATATTTAGAACACGTTAACATAGCAATGTTACAGACCATTTCAGGTTTATAGAATTCATTCCATATATGAGTATTTGAATTTATTTATAGAAATGTATTTGTAGTATCGGCGTCTTAAGAATGTATTCAATGTAAAATTTGTTGGATTTGCTTGTTAATTCAGGTTGGCGCCAGAGACAAAGCAAGCAACCTAGACTCGATGAGGGAGAGGGGAGGTGCGGGGGACTAACGTCCACTAGACACCAACCAAGCTAATTCTGGACTAAGATGGATCAATTTTATTTCAATAAAGGGGTCTTTAGTAATGGGAGGAAACAGGAGGACCCGGAGAAAACCCCAGAGGTTGGACCGGCGACCCTACTCCTTGTCACGTACAAGCGGAGAATCTAAACCACCCCATATGACTCAATGACAGACCTTCTGATCCAGCGCGCACGTGTTAACCATTCGGCCACCCCCATGTTTAATGCGAAAACAACAGACTTGTAAAACCAAATAAATTATTTTCGGAATACCATAGTCCATATTATGGAACCTGAAATTCCACTGAGCATGTTTAAAGCGAAAACAACAGACTTGTAAAACCAAACAAATTATATATTTTCGGAATACCATAGTCCATATTATGGAACCTGAAATTGTAGTTGTCTCCCTGTAATCAGTGATTAGACTAATATTTACTACTGAGCAATTTGCTACCAAATTGTTAACCTCTCATTTACCAAAGAAGGATATGTGTTTTATACTATTCAAAAAAAGTAGGGGATATTTGATTTTGGGGGCATAATACTAAAATATGCAAATGACTACGAAAAAAGTCACTATAGAACCTAACAGAAGAAACATTTCCAGTTACATGTGACGCCCAAACGCACCAATAGCTACCGCATGGAATGCAGGTGATGCTTGGGATCATCATGGGGGTCCAACCCAAGATTTGCACGACTCTGACTTTGAATGTTACAGTCATTGTGGCATTGAATTCCAGGGTGGAAACATCAGTTTAATTGTTTTAGTGACCAGAAAACAAATTTTGATATGCGTCGGCTTACCCAAAATGAAAGGTTACGTGCCCTTGGCATGCTACAGATCGGCACAACACAGGCGGTTGTGGCGCGGACGATGAATGTTTCTCAGTCTGTCATAAGCAGGCTATGGTCCAGATACCGTGATACACAATCTGTACAGGACAGACCACGCTCAGGTCGACTAAGGGCGACAACTCAAGCCCAGGATCGATTTATCCGTACCTTGGCCTTGAGAAATCGTGTCATCACAGCAAATCAGATCAGCGCCCGTCTTCAAACAGACACTGGTGTGAGAGTGAGTGGCCAGACGATTCGGAATCGACTGAATAGGGGTCACCTTCGCGCCCGACGTCCTCGCGTGATCCCTTGTTTGAGAGATCATCACATTCAGGCAAGACGTCGTTGGTGTAGGGATCGTCAACACTGGGATAATGGACGCTGGAGCAATGTGATGTTTTCAGATGAGTCAAGGTTCACTGTTGATTTTTTGGACAGACGTAGGAGGGTGTGGCGTCGTCGAAACGAGCGCTTCCAAGACGTTAACGTCATCAGACATGATCGATTTGGGGGTGGTTCTGTTATGGTGTGGGGAGGCATCACTGTTGCTGGAAGAACGGCTTTACATGTTGTTGCAGGGCGTGTTACAGGCCAGTACTACCGGGACAACATCTTGGCAGTCCGTGTTGTGCCGTTCGCACGACGTCATGGCCGCCGTTTCATCTTCCAGGATGACAACGCAAGATGTCACAGGGCCAGGATCGTTACAGGTCACCTCCAACAACAGAACATCACCACATTACCTTGGCCAGCACTGAGTCCCGACCCCTCCCTCATCGAGCATGTCTGGGACATGCTTGGACAGAGGTTACGTCAACGTCAACAACGTCCTGCCAATGTCCAAGAACTTGCTGCTGCGTTGCAACAGGAATGGGACAATCTGGACCAAAATGACCTTAGACGTCTCATTAGGAGTATGCCACGTCGGATCAATGCTTGTTTGGCAAACATAGGAGGATTTACCCGTTACTGACTTGGTTGTGATGCTGTGGTAACTTTGCTGTTTGACCCCGGGTATCATTTTACCCTTATAATGGTCAGTCTGTGCCTTACTTAGTCTAACGATCATTTGGAATAAATCGATGAATGTGAACTTCATTTCATTTTGTCATTTGTTTCTTCGTCAGTTTCATTAGGTGACTTTAATAACACTTAAAAATCAAATATCCCCTACTTTTTTTGAATAGTATATTATTATACGCCTTTACATGTGCGTATAATGAAGTAAATCATCTAGAATACTGAAATAGGAAACCACAGCTTTGCCAGACTCACCCAACAATAACATTATGAAACTTACCTTCAATCTTCAGCAGTCGCCAGGACCACAGACAGTTACTGCACATAAAATTGATTAATTTCGATATATCAAAATAATATCGTTTAAAGGGACAATAACACTCTTGCTGGCTTGACAGCTGCAGAAAATAAAAAATAGCCTTATTCTAAGTACTAGATGTGTTAGTGTCCCACCTGTTGTGTAAATTATCCATTAAATCCTATTTTACTTGTCCAGAGGGTTCAAAAATATTTTGAAATCCAAGTCACATTTGAAAAGCTTTACGTCAGGCTTTTCAAATCATTTAGTTGAATTTTTCCAATTTTTTAAATTAGGTGTGTTAAGATGAAATTTGTATCATCAATGAGGTACCGGCAGAATTAAACCGGAAGCTAGGTGGCGCGCAAAGAAAGTAGGACACGGAAGTGGCAGTCTCGTCTGCTCTACGCTTCACTGACAATCATTTTCATTCTCACCGCCCGTTTTGGTTTTCTGTGTGAATTAAATAATGCCAGCTCATTGTTGCGTACCGATGTGTAATGGGAAAGGTGGGCATAAATTTCCGCTGGACCCTGTTGAGAGACGGCGATGGATTCAGGCCGTAAAAAGAGGAGAAAGTGACTGGACACCGTCTAAGTGGAGTATTGTTTGTCGATCGCATTTTGATTCTTCTGACTACATTTCCGAAACCAAAGAAAGTAAGTTGACAAAATACATTTTTATATTTTGACTTTTTTTAGGTATTAGATTGAGAAATATTTTCAATTAGATCTAGTCCAAAGTTTTAAGGATTACAATTTCGGCGTTCGCTGCCAAGAGGAACTAGAAATTTTAGGCCTATCAAAACGTGTCACTATTAATAGTATTAATACTAGGCCTATATTAGTATTTTATGACTAGGCTATACCAGGAGGGCCAAAGGACAGCTGGTGGCAATCTACTCTTACTCTTACTTAGGCCTAAATAGAAAACAGATCTTGTGTATAGCCCTTGGTAAAATACTGTATATTTGCAATACTACAGCAATTAAGGCCTAGGAATGATTCTCATTTAATTAAAATTTAGCCTAAATTTAAGGCCAAATTAGGCATGCCTTGGTAAAACTAAAATGCTGTATATTTACAATACTACAACAAGGCCTAGGAATGATTCTCATTTAATTAAAATTTAGCCTATGGCTATGCCTATATATGAGTAAAAAAAAGTAAAAAATTTTTTGTACTAGACTACTGTTAAATCTACCGGTATTTGATTGTATTTTTAATATTAATTATTCCAGGGGATCAAATGGTCAATAGTATATTGAAGCCAGGAGCGATTCCACATTTATTTGCTTGGAAAAGAACAAGTTTATCAGGTAGTAGGCGCAGAGAAAGAGCCCTACATAAACAACAAAGTATTAACAAAATCGAGAGACTGGAAAGCTTGTCAACTTCTGAAAATGTAGGAAACGAAGTTGAAATAGAATACATCGAAGAGGACTTTACTCCTATCGAAGGTAGGTTTAATTTACAAAGTTTGGGTGCGATGACTAGTCTACGAGAAAAAAAAATGAAGGGAAATTCTTATGTTTTGTGAATGAAACATAGGATTTGTCTAATAATTACGGTACTTTGCTGAAAGACAGTTTTAAACTTATAGACCCGGTATTGTACAAATTACAATGCAAAGGACTCCTACTAAGTGGTACTACTACAAGCCCATGCCCCGGCCCATACCCCCTAATTTCTGATATTATGCTCGATAATAATTCTAAATTCATTTGGATAATAGCTACCCCCCCCCCCCCCCCCCCAATGTCTTGAAATTGATGAAGCGACTCCCTACTGCTATTTAATATAAATTATGTCTGGATTCTTGCAGCGAAATATACCCATAATGGTATTAAACATAAACTATTCACTTTACGGATGACCAGGCCCTGACGAGTTGTAAGTAGTAGAACTCTGAAACTGAAAGCGATAATCCAACACCACCTGGCCTGAGTTACCCCATTACACCAAATTTCAGCCTCAGGACAGCCGTAGCGAAGCCACCAACCCTGAACAGACAGACATATATGCAACAGTCACAAATATTAATATAGCTATATACATGTACCCCTAATTGGCCTCCACGTTTAATAAAATATTATTGTTTAATGTTTGAAATTTACAAAAAAAAACTTTTTTCTTTTCTTTCAGTTAAAAGTGAACCTGATACAAAAGACTCTGCCACTCAAGTTGATATGTCAATGCGCTTCTGTGCCCGAAAATACATGTTGAGTTCGGAGAAATTTCTATATTATACTGGACTAGAAAGCTATGATGCTTTTATGTGTTTGTTTTACTCGTTTGGGCCAGTAGTTGATGAACTTAGGTATTTTTATGGGACAAAACCTAAGATGTCAACAGAGGACCAGTTTTTTCTGACTTTGGTTAAACTTAGACTTGGGAGGAGTAATTTTGAGTTGTCTGACACATTTGAAATATGTGAAAAAGAGCTTATGAACATATTTATAACATGGATAAATTTCATGTATTTTCACTTTAAGGAAATTAACTGGTGGCCATCCAAAGACTTGGTTAAGTTTTACAGTCCTGCAGACTTTAAGTCTAAGTTTCCGACAACAAGGGTAGTAATTGATGGTACGGAAATACCAATACAAAGGCCAAAACAACCCATTATTCAGCAAGGCACATTTTCCACATATAAAAACAGAAATACGGTTAAGGTCCTTGTAGGTGTTACACCAGGGGGTCTTGTGAGTTATGTGTCCGATGCATTTGGTGGTGCAGCCAGTGATAGGCAGATATGCGAGAGAAGCTGTCTAATGAATTTATGTGAATCTGGTGACTCTGTCATGGCAGATAAGGGGTTTAATGTCCAAGATCTGTTCATACCGTCAAATGTGGAAATTAACATTCCAGAATTTTTTAAAAAAAAGAACAGGATGTCTGGACATTCAGTAGCAAATGATCGAAAAATAGCCAGCAAACGAGTGCACGTTGAACGAATTATCGGACTAGCCAAGACATTTAAAATATTGAAAAAACCTCTAAATAATACAGAATCAAATTTGTCAGATGCAATTATTTCAGTTTGTTTTTATTTATGTAATTTTAGACCAGCCATTGTCCACAATGATGCCTAAGTTGACGTGTATTGATCTTGTAACATTGGATAGAATAAAACATATTAACTCTGATATATTTTTATTTATTAAATAAATATTTATTCAAAATGGCATTCTTAAAATGTGAATCATAGAAACTTGAGAGTCTATTCAACATTTCCATCACAAATTCATGATCATAAAAGATGTCTATGATTTTTATGTCTGTCAAAGTAAAAATAATAAACTTGCACTGTCTCCTACCCGCACAAAACAACTGCCCTTGTATTTGATAGTAATAGTTATGGGTTTTTTTTAGGGTTAACTTCCCATCAGTTATGGTCAGATATGGAACCGTTTGTTCAGAAATTAAATAATTTCGTGCTGAGTACGGGCACTTTACCTCTACCAGAGTTTCATCGTCAATGACTCTATCTGGTGAGGCAGCAAGCATAGGGTGTGTCTCACTAACAAAAAGTCCACAACTCTTAGTTTTAGTGTTTGTCAATGTCTCAAAACTCTCCACTGCCACACTTTCATATTGTCTCCCATACATAGTTTGTTTAGTTTTTAGATTTACTGGGTGTAATAGACCCCTCAGTAGCATATCAATGTCTCTCTTTATAGTGGCCTTGCATATATTTCCAAAATTAGAAGATGTAATTCGTTTTCGTCTTTCTGCTGTCCACCTGTCACATGCACTTTGGTATTTGGTTTGCTGCTCAATTTCATAGATTTCAGCCTTTGAAATACAGGATACCTGAAATTACAGTAAATACAAGAAATTATTATCCGATTGACATTTAAACTTAAGATGCATTATTTAAGATATCAACTTAAAATTGGCATCGAGAGTTGATTATGGTCTTGTCATGTTAATAAATGTCTAATTAATAATTTATATATCATTTAAGGCCCCAAAAAGACCTGCAATAGGCAGATTTAGATATTACATAATGACTGTTTATAGAGGAACACTACAATAATAATCTAATCACTGTTACAGAGTCAAACCATTTGTGATCTTGAATAAAGTACAAGACTGTAATTTATCTTATAACAAATAACTGTTTTAAACTAAAATAATACCTTTTCAGTCTTGAGAAAGTGATCCTCCATTGTCAGCTCCATGTAGTCATGGTCAGCTGCTAAGGCTCTTATGTTGGCTGATTCATACATTTGTAGCACAGGCCACTTTGATTTTCCCTGAAACAGAAAAGGTTGTCATAGTACAGGATGATGGAGTTAATATTTCATTTTCATAATGACATAAATCACTCAAAAATCTTAAGATTAATCAAATATGAATTGAATTAGCTCACCTGCCAGTTAAGTACCATGTTTCTCAAGTTTTGTTCATTTTTTAAAGAATTCTTCCTATGCACTGGTCTTGGATCATAAATAGCAGGCTTCACATTTCCTCTGATTCCACTCAGGTTCCTTGTTTTCAATGGACTACCTTTCATGGGCTTACTTTTGTGAAATTTTTGTAAAACCTGAAATGAATGCAAATATCATTAATGAATTTCCTATAATGTTTATTCCAAGTTTGAATGTATCCTAAATATAATGGAATGTCACAAAAAATGGGTTTAACTTGTAATGTCAGCTTATCTAGACTCCCTAGGAGCTTTCATAATTATCTCAGTCAGTTAGTGGGGCTTACCTAGGGTGATGTTGCAGACCAGCGTTTCCTTATGGGAGAGTGGGGTTGGATGGCTGAATGGTTAGCGTGCGCGCGCTGTATCATAAAGTCTGTCATTGAGTCGACTGGCGTGGTTTCGAATCCCCGGTTGTACGTGGCAAGGAGTAGGGATGCCTGTCCAACCTCGTGGGTTTTCTCCGGGTCCTCCGGTTTCCTCCCATTGCTAAAGACCCCTACGCGCAAGCGAATTATGTAAATAAAATTAAACCATATGTTAGTCCCGAAATGACCTAGTTTGTGTCGAGTGGACGTTAAACCCCATTTCTCTCCCTCTCTCCTTATGGGAGATGACACCAGGGCATTCGAGGATTAGACCTGCTGGCAGTTGGGCCTAGGGCTATAATTTTTATACTTATTGCTGTAGTACACATGACTAGGTGTTAACTAGAATAACATTATAATTAAGGCAATATCAGTTATACATCCATGCCTTACACTAAAGTAAGATCAGTATTGGTATTGAAAAGCAAATTAATCAATAAAAATTAAAAAATATGATACATCTTGAATAGAGATAATATATATACCTGTGTGCATGTTACTTCTGTTAGAATGCTACCAGATGTGCAGTATTTCACAAGACCAAATAAAACACTTCCCACATGCTTACAATGAGCCAATGGTCCTTGTCCTACTGCACATTCACACTGAGTTTGCTGGATCACTGCATTCCTATCTATACTTATGTCCACTTTGTAGCTTGTTGATCTTTTCATTTCTGCCCAAACGTTCGAAGTTATATATGTTACATCATTTATGACTACACGCACATATCTTAGATACCTAAAATAAATACAAATGTATTGTAAAAATAAAGGATAAGTTTGTGTACAAAGAAGAAACTGAAAAGATGTCACAGACTGATCAGCAGTAATTATTTGCTTGGCGGCTACCATCACTGAGAGGGATGACATTGGGGCAAGTTAATTAGCTCTCAATATTAATTTTTTTTTCTTCTGCAAATTAAATTCCAAAACAATTTTTTAAAATTATTAATGGTACTTTGATAAAAAAAAATATAAAAGAGATGGATTTCTGAATAAAAAATATTTCCTATTTAGTGTAAATGAGTACGTTCATAACATAGTTAAATCTTACACAAACTTTGCAAAGGTGTAAAATGAAATGAGTTACAAAGTCACTGACTCTGCCTGATGTGATAGTACATGATTGTGCTGTCAACACCTTAAATAAGATGTGACACCTGTTTAAAAGTTACCTCTGTGCATAAAGAAGTTCAATTTTTTCATTCAACTTTTGGTCACTTAGTTGTAAGAAATCCACTACTCTCTGTTTGGTCACATTAGGGAAGTTCTGTAAGTGATCAGCATGGAGATCTGTATACTCGCTGTTTCCAGGCAGACACATGTGGAATTCTGGTGCAGGTTCATTTTTTGAGGAATTTCTGTCATCAAATATCAATCTAGAATTTAAATTAATGAAAGACTAAAATTAGACAGGTTTTAGTGTTATTATTAACAATAATACTAAAATAGTATAGCCTCGACGGCTAGCAATACCGAATAAGGTTTTACCTGTTCTGGACGAAAAGAAATAAAATTTAGCCTAGATCTATTTATTATTGAAATTATAATATAGGCCCTATATCAATATGTATTATTTTATATTGTCTTCGTATCCACCAGGTTTCATTACAATAAATTTATAACTAACAACAGTCTTTAATTGTGTAAATTATAATCGGAATGGAAAACAATAACAATCAACGAATTACGTAAACAAACACTCGTGAACACTGACACTGTTTGTTTATTTATATCTGATTAGGCCTAGAGCTATCGACTATCGTTCACTCGAGTTTCTAGCATCTATAAATAAATCTAAAGAAAACATTGGATTATCATCACTTACCGTTCAACCAAATCTCTTTTTTTTCCGGCAACTTTTAATTTACGAACGCGAAGAATTTCCTTAAGTTCTAATAACGTTTTATCACAATATTTGTCGTCGAAGTCAGCCATATTTTTAGCGTCTGCTTGTCGCTACGGAGATGTCCTACTTTCTTACAGCGCCACCAGGCGGATTAGTTCTGCCGGTACCTCATTAATTGGAATATTGTAAAATAGTACAATTTGTTGACCAGAATAAAGATTGGGACATAATTTATTCAGTTACAACAAGAGTGGTATTGAGCCTTTAACACTGGACTCGCTCACACTGCACCCAATCTGATTAAAATACAGATCTACTTTAGTTTTTATCCCACACTGCATTAAAATCTGATCGGTTGTAGAGAGAGGTCGCATCTGGGGTAATAATCATTCCTTAAACCAATTAACACCTGTGTTTCAAATAGCTATTCGGACTTTTGTTTTGTTGTCTATCGCAGCTAATGTTTACCCACAGATTAACTAATTAGAGCTGGTGTTCCAAATGGCTATTCGGAAATACATTTTGGCTGCAATCGTCTACCTGCAGTTTCTCATATCAAAAGATAATTCGCCTAAAAAAACAAAAAAACATTTAATTGACTAATCCCCCGCAACGAAATTTCAAATTATAAAAAAGAAAAGATATGATGTGTGCATGTTAAATTTCATTTTAAAAGAGGTGTTATTTACCCTAAAGCGTGCAAGGAACTGTGGTGCCTCAGTTAGTAAGACGTCGGTTCGCTATAAACCTGGCCACTGCCCGGGCAAAATTTCCCTCGTAGCACACTGTATACACAGTCGGAGCAGAATAGTAGGAATTTTAATCCCATTCCATTTTCACGCATGTGTATCTAATTTAATTAAATAGGCGCCCTCGTTTTACTTGAGTGATATAGCCGTGTCCTATTACTTCTAGACAATAGAGCGCATTACCGTGGTCATTGTAAAAACCAACAAAATCAGGAAAGCATTATGTCTTATTCTGAACAACCCATACCACTAGTTTTTAAATCATATTTGTGTTGATATCATTGTTTATTTCATTATATGTATTATAGTAAAATAGCTCGATACCCGGCGTCGCCAAGGAACCAAATTCGCCCGGGACCGAAATTCGATGGTTTAAAACATTGACGGGGTCATGCTGCTTTATATGATACCTACATATGCAGGGGTTGGACGAAGCGTGATGGGCGAGCATACACACATACACACATACACACATACATACATTCGTATTTGATTTTATTTATATCTTATTTATATAGAATGCTATGTTTGATTAAATGTAATTTACTTGTAATAGAATTGTAGAAAACGGTTTTATTTCTGTCAACGATGCAATAAAGTTTGACATTTTGAAGCAATGTCCTATAGAACCGTTAATAGTCAATCTACATGTAATTTTAAATGTCAAAATACGTATGAAACAGATTTATTAGATTTTTGGAAGGCATTAACACAATACATACATTTATATAGATTATTGAGAATTTCAGTATAAATATATATTATGAAAGATGTAGATGAAAGATGTAGATTTTTACAAGAATACATAGGACATTTTACTCTTCATAGACGTTTTCCTGCATATTATAAAGAAATTTCCTGTTTTTTATTTACTTTATCGACGAGTGTTGATATTTTTTTTACATCAAAAAAGACGAGTAGGAGATTTTATTTATCACCCAATCCCTTCTTACATGCACAAATAAATAAATATAATTCTATGCTATAGACTTCACTTTTACTGAACCAGATTACATTATGGCGTAGTGATACATCATTTATATTGATTCAGTGTTCCCATCAAGGTCAATTAAATAAAAAATTATTCATTTTTAATAAAGAAAAAAGAATTTACTTTTAATAAAAAATGAACTGTTCTTTGAAAATGCAAAAAGGTAGTTCCTTTTTAACTGATCAATCAAATACATGTAAAGCGATATCTCCTATCCCAGTAGATTATGAAATTTATCACACAAGCGACATCTACTGTAGAATGTATTATTGAGTGATAAAATGCTATACCTGATTCTTTTCCAGTAATGAAATGTTGTACATCCACCATCCATTTAACACAGCTAAGCCATGTCAAGTCTGTATGCATAATTTTAAATGGTTTTAAACATGATGAACCACCGTCCCAGTAGTAAGGTCGTTGACATTTACGGTACATTTAAAGTCATGGAATGGGGATAAACGTCTTAATTTTTCGAACACCAGAGCTAAAGAAGACGGGCATAAACCACGCATTGTTTTTGTGAGGGAAATTGGAAACGTTGATCCTCAGTTATGTTGCCCCATCCACACCACTAGGCACATTGTCTTGCCTCGTCCTCCAGAGGAACTTTCATTGTTAAAACCCTAGACCTACTGGTGATTAGGCGCCATACACACTGCGCCACCGTGGTTTTAAAAAGAACAGTGCAGAAAAGTAGAACGTTAAACCAAATTTTATTTCAGAGACACATGAACGGTTATAGTACGAGTATGGACAAAGGTGGGTATTTATAATTCAAAGTCTCATTAATCAGAAGGTGGGTTCTTAGTAATGACCACCAACAGAGAGAGAGAGAGGAGAGAGAGAGAGAGAGAGAGAGAGAGATGTGGTTTAACGTCCACTCGACACAAACTAGGTCATTTCGGGACTAACACACGGTTCATTTTAATTTCAATAATTCGCTTGCGCGTAGGGGTCTTTAGCAGTGGAAGGAAACCGAAGGACCCGGAGGAAACCCACGAGGTTGGACAGGCGACCCTTCTCCTTGTCACGTACATCCGGGGAATCGAAACCCCGCCAGTTGACTCAATGACAGACCGTATGATACAGCGCGCGCGTGCTAACCATTCGGCCATCCAACCCCCCGAACACCAACAGAAATCGTGGTATACTAAGCTTCCATATCGGAATAATGATCATTGTAGACTGTATAGGAGGGATTTTGGTTTTAAGTACAAGATAACGTGATGGATGTAAAGTTTCAAACCCAACAAGTACTTATGGCTTACATCCCGAGTCTAGATCATATTCATCTCTACTTGATGAATTGTCCATTTAAGCTGACGAGGACGAGCCGTAGTATAATGTATCCTCAAGGGTATTTTATCAATAAAGGGGAAATTGATATCTTGTATACTTAGACCTGTAGCTACATGTATCTTTATTGATTTACTATAAATGATATGATGGCGAGAGCCTGGCCGTAAATCCCGCTGGACATATACGAACAATCGATGACAGTATGACGATAGCTAAAGAGGCACCCACAACGGTATACTATTCCTACGCGATCCACTCGGTCTTTAACGGGACGAAGTTGCATTGTTTCCTGCGTGTATACGTTGGGCAAATTCACAACCAATGTACGCTAAAAGAAATGCAATGAAATGATGTTTAACGTCCTACTGTTCTGGTACGTCAAAAGAAATCAACCGCCAGTTTCAATTAAAGTATCTGTGCGTATTTTTTTCTGATAGTATAGACGTTTCCACGGATTGATCCTCACTGAAATGTACTCAAACTTATTATTGGACTTTTCTAAAGAAAATGAAATATAAATATCAACGGTAGCTAATATCATGGCTTAGGTTGAATTGAATTCAAAACAAGCCCATCAAAAGATTTTAGCAAAAGTTATAGGTGGCGCTGGCACGAGATCACATCTCGTTTATATCGTCTGCAGAGGATGTTGAATGTTGACAAATTTTCAATTTTTAAAATGTTTGTAAATACCGAACGGAACTTCACCATGTTACAGATTGATTTTCCCAAACACCTAAATCACGGCGACAGCCATTTTCAAATGTTTTGTCGAATGACGAACTCGATCACCAGACGAGATCTCTAGGATTGTCGCTTTAATAATCTGGCGCTTATTATATCTTTATTGTCTTTAGCTCGACTGGTTATCTGCTCCTGGCCGTCCACCCCCGCTTATAATAGTTGTAACCTCTGTTCGCTTGATTGAGCTAAGTACATGACTACTGAGATATCATTAAGTTTGGGTATTGGTTGTGGTATCTTGGGACGATTATACATCTATTATAAACTCTTAGGTGACCAGAAATAACTTAATATACTCGTCAGTTTAATGCTCTAAATCATTCGCCTGAGTCTTCATTAGAGTCAACACCCATGCTCAAGATAAAGATATATGGTCTGTATAAATAACATGAGAGAGAGAGATGGGGTTTAACGTCCACTCGACACAGACTAGGCCATTTCGGGACTAACATATGGTTTAATTTTATTTCAACAATTCGCTTGCGCGTAGGGGTCTTTAGCAGTGGGAGGAAACCAGGAGACCCCGAGAAAACCCACGAGGCTGGACAGGCAACACTACTCCTTGTCACGTACAACCGGGGTTTCGAAACCACGCCAGTTGACTTAATGACAGGCTTTATGATACAGCGCGAACGTGCTAACCATTCAGCCATCCACCCCCCACCAGACGTCATAGAAGTCCTTTGACTCTTTTGTAATTGACGCTTTAACATAGGAAGGGGAATGGCCACTCTCATACCCATAATCTTCATTATTTCTTAACGCGTCCTTAATATAATTACAATTATAAAGTTGTGGTTATTTTAGAAAAATAAAACTAGTACATAAAAATACCCCCTTTTAACATTTCCGTTAAATTCTTTTAAACTGTCGTAAAGTTACTTAGCAGATTATTTTTCCCAATTTCTTTTACTATCTTGGAAGGAAGACGACTGAATGTATATTTGACGCCCCCACGACACTTTGATTTAATTTACAATTTTTAAACTCACACTAAAAGCGCTTTATTGGTTGAAGCAGACTTTGGGAGAACGGTATTTCTGCTTAAGATTTCAATACGTTGGACAGTTTATTTGGTTGGTTATAAACGATGGAGATGTTTTTTTTTCCTAAACTTAATATTACAGTCTATGTCACTTTTATTTGTTGAGTGTTAGGTATACAATTTCCAGTTCAATCTAAGACAGTTCATACATTTTAAGCAATTTGCGCCTACAACCAACAGTTACATTACCTTAATATCGCTAGTGATATAAAGCTCCTCTTGGAAATCATTAATATATAAAAGGTGATCCATTTAATATAACGGGGGTCCAAGCTATCTGAAGTCGTGGTGTAGTGTATGGGTAGGATATGCTATGTTTATCCTTTCTAGTACACC